GTTATTTTCATCTGTTTTGTCATGCAAATCCATTTCTTCTTTTATAAAAATCATATTGATGCCAGTGTAAACAGTCACCGTATATTACCAGGCATGGCAATAGGTAACTGTAATCTCAGTCCTCGGAGAAGATGAAGAAGAAAGATGGCAAGTTTGAGGCCAGCCCGTGGAATTTTGTGAGATCGTGTCTCAAAATAAAAAAAGGCCTGAGAGTGTAACTCATTTCCCAGTACTGCAGAAAAAAATCAAATAAAATTAGTACCAGTATATCTGAAACACAGTAATATAAAGCAAGGCATAGCAGTGCACACCTCTAGTCACGGCTGAGGCAGAGGAACTGAAAGTTGAGCTCAGTCTGGATGATTTAGCGAGAACCTGTCCCAAAACAAAAACTAGGAAGAACTGAAAATGTAGCTCAGTGTGAAGGCCCTTACTTGAATTCCAGTAAACCTCCTCAAAAAAAAAAAGAGCTACTATGTAAACCAGATGTGGTGGTATATCATGCCTCTAATCCAGCACTCTGTGAGGCAGAGGGACTGAAAGTTAGAGCCCAGCCCAGGTAACTGGGCAAAATCCTGTCTCAAAAATTAAAAAAAAATTTTTTTTTAAAAAACTAGGTGACTGGGGCTGGGGATTTAGCTCAGCGGCATAAGCACCTGCCTTACAAGCAGGCGGTCGTGAGTTCGATCCCCGGTACCGATAAAAAAAAAATAAAAAACCAGGTGACTATGGTCTGCAACCTCTATGAACTATGAGCTAAAATAAACCTTTCCTCCTTAAGAAAAAAAGAGGAGGGGTGGGGTATAGCTCAGCAAGCACAGTGCCTGCCTAGCAAGCACCAGGTTGTGAGTTCAATTCCTGGTACAAATAAATAAATAAAAGGATGTTGTAGCTGTAGCTCCAGTGTAAAGGCCTTGGGTTTCATCCTTAGTACCACATACAAAAACTAAAAAGCTCTCTATAATATATGCCTATTTGTTTAGAGATGGTATTATTATTATTATTATTATTATTGAGACAATATTATATTGCTCAGACTGGCCTTAAACTTATGGGTTTAAGTGATCCTCCTGCCTCAGCCTCCTGAGTGTTGAGACCACAGATGCATGGCACCATGTCTGGCTCCTTGGCAATACAGTTAAATAAAAAGGATAGTTTTCAGAAAAGTATAAATAATATGATTCTAGTTATGTAAAAAAAAATAAAGTTCATGCACATGTTTGCATATTTACAGAAACACTCAGGTATGGACTAAACTGCTATGAGTTTTTCCTATCAGGCAGTTAAGGAGCAGGAAGAGAATAAGGACTTTAACATTTTATCTTCCTATCCTATTCAGCTTTTTCTTGCTTTAAAAATAAGTACTAATAGTGCTTTTTTTTTTTTTTTTGTCTTTTTCATTTTTATCAGTACCAGGGATCGAACTCACGACTGCCTGCTTGCAAGGCAGGCGCTTATGCTGCTGAGCTAAATCCCCAGCCCCTAATAGTGCAATTTTAACTTTTTCTTTCTTTCTTTTTTTTTTTTTTTTGGTGCTGAGGATCGAACTCATGACCTCGCGTTTGCTAGGCAGGTGCTTAGGCCGCTGAGCTAAACCCCTGGCCTAATAGTGCAATTTCAAAAGTTTCTTTTTAAATCAGACTCAAGTGTAAACAGTGTTGTCTTACTAGTGTGAGAAGTGGAAAGAAACATTATGTATATGTACACTTAGGTATATAAAAAGATAGTTAAGATAGTTATACTACTAATTTCTCTGAGGTGTTGAAGAGAAAGATTTGTGCTGGTTCAGACAATTGAATGCAGATGTCTTATGCTCTGGACCAATGATATGTGGATGTCAGTGCACCACTGTATCATTGTTGCCCCAATTGACGTTTCAAAATTTTGTTTTCCTTTTTTTGTTCTGAAATAAAATGATTTAGAAAATAAATAAAAGTATATTTTTATTAGTATGTATTAGCTAGGAAGGTTGGTTATTTTGAAATTAACATAAACTATATACATTTAGAAAATTACAGTGCACTCAGGAGGCTAAGGCAGGAGGATCACTGCAAGTTTAAGGCCACCTGGATTACATACAGTGACCCTGTCTCAGAAAACAACAAAACAAGCAAAATTCAGAAAGCTTCAATGAAAAAGATCTTCACATTTACCACCATTTGGCTGTTCACAGTGCAGGTCAGGCAGGCCAGGGAGCAATGCCAGCCTCCAAGTCCCACTGCATGTGGCCCTTGTATGCACCTACCCATGGCAGTCAGTTTGGCCTGGACCCTGCTGGGGGCTCGGGCTGAAACTGCAGGTCAACTAACCGCTTCTATCCAGCCCACCAGCTCGTCCTCTCAGTGCTGCTCTCAAGACAATAGCTGGCATAGGGGCTGGGGATTTAGCTCAGCGGCATAAGTGCCTGCCTTGAAAGCAGGCAGTCGTGAGTTCGATCCCTGGTACCAATAAAAAAAAAGGAAAAAGACAAAAAAAAAAAAAAAAAAAAGACAATAGCTGGCTGGCAGGGATGGCACAAACCTCAGTACTGTGCTTGGTAAGTTTAGGTTGGTGTGATCATCACAGGCACGGGCGAGAGGAAATGGGACACAATTAAGTGAGTGATTTCCCCTCCCCATACTGGGAATTGAACCCAGAGCCTTTATGCTGAGCTGCATTCACAGCACTCTACCCTACCTTGAGATTGTCTTGTTAAGTCACTAAATTGCCCAGGATGGGTTTAAACTTGTGATCTTCTTGCCTCAGCCTCCCAGTGCTGGGATCAGATGTGCACCACTCCCGTTTTCTACAAGATTAAGGGTAAAAGGAGACCTTTTTTTACTTGTTGTGAGAATTTGATTATTAAAGTATTTCAGACAACTTGCACAGCAGGGCCAGCTGATCTCATTTAGGATGGTTAAGGATAGTTTCTGAAGGAATTATTTTCAGATGAGACCTGGAAAAGCTGTCAGCCAGGTAGAGGTCAGGAAAAATGTTCCCGAAATGCTGGTCTGGAGCTGAGACAGAATGGTGAGGAAGCCGCATAACATAATCATTGAGTTTGCAGCTTGGGAGCCTAAGGCAGAAGGATCACAAGTTTGAGGTCAGCCTGGGATATAGTTTGAGACCAAAAACAATGAAACACAAACAAGCCCCACCCCTACAATGAGTATAGTAGTGGAACATCTTTAATCCCATCACTTGGGAGACCGAGGCAGAATGGCTGCCTTAATTTTGAGTACAGGTTGGGATACAGAATGAGTGCAAGAGCGGTCTAGAATACATAGCGAGACCCTGTCCCATACAATCCAACAAAACACTGACTTTGTCCTGTTTCGGCAGTAGGGAGCAAGAGCCTGCAGAACCATGGAGTTAAGCCCAGCTCATGGGCTCTCGTCAGGACAGAGAGGAAGCCCACTCTGGCCGCTGTGTGGACAGGGCACTCTCCAGTGTAGTGCTTTGGCAAACAGCGGGGTGGGAGCCACGGTGACAGTGCAGGTGGGACAGAAGTAGCAGGAATGCAGCCAGCAGAGCAGGTCAGTAAGGAACCAGAGGGCAGGCTTTGGCCGTGAGGTGACTGACTGGAAAGCTGGCAGATGGGCTGAGCTCTAGGTGGGGTCACAGCACAGTGGAGCCTAAAGGGTGGAGGGCAGGGAGGAATAACACCAAATGACATAAATCTCTGCCCAGGTCCACCTGAGCATGTCTCATTTGTGACACAAAGTATCCACTCCGCTACCAGCCCTGAGGGTTTGTACTGGCCACGAAGAACTCAGTGCTCAGCTTGTCTGAGGCACTTCTAATGCTGGTGTTTCTCCCATGAAAATCTAATACATATTGCTTACCTGAAAGCATTCTTACTCTTTTATATAGGAACAGCTGTTTAAACTTCAAGACTATCAGGAATCCTGTAGTGATAATGTCCTATCTATATGTCTATCTATCTATTCCTTTGAGACAGGGTCTCCATATGCAGTTCAGGCTGGCCTTAAACTCACTTTGTAGCCTGGGCTGGTTTTGAACTCACCAATGATTCTCCTGCCTCAGCCTCCTGAGTGCTGGGATTATATGCATGCACCACTACACTTGGCCTGACAGTGTTTTCTCTGAACAAACAGAAGTAGCTCAGGAACTGAACTAAGTCTAGGAGCACCAAGAAGAGATGGGTGCCAGGGCTCCATCATTTAGACACCAGAGAGGGCCTTCGCAGAGCTGGTCCAGGATGTACAGCACAGGCAGAATCTCGCTGGCTGTGGTCACCCACATCCCTGTGCGCTCAGTCTCCTGGCCTGCACTCCCTGCTTGTCCAGCTTGCATTTCTGGCCCAGTGTTGTTCTACCTGAGTCACATTGCGCTGATTTTCTATCTCCCTAGGACTTGTCTGGTCAATTGAGGTCTTAGAGCTCAGTAAGTAGATGTTGCTGTGTGCTGAGGTGCTAGGTGGGCACCCTGTGTTTTTCGTATCAGTTTCCATACTGCAAATATGAGCCCTCACTAGCCCACTTACACTGGTTGCGTCTCCTGCCACAGGGCCGCCCATCTTAGAGCAGTAAAGGAAGGAAGGTGTTAGAAGGGGAGGACAGCTTCTGGGGCATGGAGCCTAGGACCTCCCAGTGGTAGAACCATGTCTTAAGGGGCAGGGAGACACAAAGAATGTAAGCCCTATCCTGTATGTTACACCCAAGGGCTCCAGCCTGGCCTGGGCAGCTACATCTTTGGAGCTGAAGTTGTCATGCCATGAGCCCCATCACAGACCCTCAGAACAGCCTCCCTGTCGTTTTAGGAGCGGGTAATCTTTAGAACCCACCCCAGCCACCAGTTTGAAAGTATGGACTCCTGCCAGGAATGGTAGTATATGCCTGTAATCTCCAGCACTCAGGAAGCTGAGGTAGGAAGATCACTGCCAAGTTTGTGAGTTGAAGGCCAACCTGGAATACACAGCAAGACCCTATATCCAAAACATGCACGCGCGCACACGCGCACACTCTCTAGATTCAGAAAGAGCTCAGACAGAGGCCTGGTTTATACGAAATTTGATTATTCAAATTTATTACCATCAAGAATTATGCAATGATGCTGTAGTTTTTCTTAACAAATAGAAAACAGACTGTGTACAACAGTGAACTCTACAGCACTAGCATCCACAAGGTAAAAATGAATGTCTCATCCAACATTACCAACCCTGGATTGTTGATCTTGACTTAGCCTAGCTAGATTTGGCGACATCTCCATGTCCCTCAGCTAAAACAGCTATGCACCCTGCCCCGCCCCGCTTCCCTATCTAGATAGTGCTGCCCAGAGGAAGAGGTCTTGCCCTCTCCTCAGCAAGCCAAGAGTAAGACTGACTATAGTGCCATGACAGAAGTCCAGTAGTCTGCCACATTGGTTTAGGAGGGCATTCTGAAGGAGTGGAAAAGAGCAATTCTCAGGGGGCTTTGAAAACAGCTACAAACCAGGGAGAAATCATCTGACCCCTGTTGAGGACAGATGTGTGCTACGAGGGCCCCTGGCCTGGACCTGAAGGGCTAGCCACGCCCCTGCTTGGCCCTGAGGTGTGTGGGGCGTGGGGCACCCCACCTGTGCCATTTACTCGGCCCTAGCCAGAGCCCACAGCGTTGTCACCCCCTGCCATACTGCAGTGCTGGGAAGACCAGCAAGTCTGGGGGGGTCTCCTGGGAACTCTGGGTGCATGGAGCCACCTCCCTCTTAAGGGTTTAAAGCAGAGACCAGGGGATGACTTTTTTTTTTTTTCGGTTTTTAAAAATTTTTGTGGTTTTCTGTTTTTGTATCTTTGCAAACACAATGGTGATGAGGAATGCCTGGCTAGGCTCCCCTAGACGCGTCTGTGGCTGTGGGCTGTGAATGTTGAACACACTGAACAGATGACTGGGGATGTGTGTTTTCTATCGCCTCCCTGCCCACCACTGTCTGTGGGGCCTATAAAAAGGCTCTTAAGGAGAAACAAAACAAAACCTTAAAAAACTGTGTTTCCCTGCATTTGGCTGGAAAAGAATCTTGTCTGAGGCTGGAAAAGCCCAATCAGTGCTACCTCCTGGGTCCATGGCCAAGCTTTGCTCAGCTGCTGACCCCAGCTCCACAGGAGGAAGGCACTTTCTGTTAGCAGTAAAGGCATACACAAAAGGACCCAAAGTGAACTCAGAAAGAAAACGTGGCCCATTCTGCAATCAAGGATTTGAGGGAGAAAAAAAAAAAAAACTCAGAGGGAAGAGGCTGGAATCCTCAGTCTACCTCACTAGCATATAAAAATGGAGCCTTCGTCCCCATCCCCATCCCTATCCTGTGAGAAGAAGCATGAGAAACGTGGAGCTGAACAGAGAGCTTAAAGCAGGTTTCTGCTGCATCTGGTGGACAGAGAGGCCACAGCACCTGCTTGCCAGGCCACCTGCTTGCCCAGCAGTGTTCCAGGCTCTCTGATCTGTGTGGCAATGTTCCTGAAACGCTGTGATCCCAGTGGGCTGTGCTTTGCTGGCAACAGCATCTGTGCAGGAGGGCTGGACGATGGTCGGTATGGCTCAGAGGAGCTGGGTCCCCTCCGGAGCCCCTGGCGGAGGCATCGGAGGAGAGGGGAGCAGTAGTTACGTTGCATAGTGGTCAAAACTGCCGAGGTACTCCAGGGCTGCACGGTAGCACAGCTGGTACTGGTCCTGCCAGGATAAAAGCTGGTCAGTGTGGGTGTCAACAGCAGATATCCTTACCACATTGCTAAGGGCACCCATGCTACAGTTAGTGAGCCATGAAATTAGCCTCTGCTGGTGAACTGCATGTGCTGGAACGAGACAGCTATGCCAGGCAATGTCCAAGGGAGCCTGAAAATGCCTCTGTAGGCTCACTTCGTTCCCAGGCCCTCAAATCTGGCTGCTGTCCTCCTGCCACCTAATTGTGTTTATCTGCTCTTAGTCTGCACCTCTGAAGGATTGCTATGTAAAACTCTAACCTCGAGCCAGCACACAAGTGCTCAGTATGGAGCAACTACATCAAAGCATGATTTCTTGCCCATCTCTGTTGCATTTTAGGCAAAACAGGTGATGTTACCCATCTAGAGCAATAATGGACACATGTCTGTATGTGTCCAACTTTAGCTAAAGCTGAGAGTCCCAAGGAAGGCTGCTGGTGAAACCCTGGCCCTGCATTCTGGTCTCCATACCTCTGTCTGCACCATTGCAGGACGTTGTGTGCGCAGGGTCTTCACGGTTTGGAACATGTCGACCACGCCCTCATAGCGCATGCGCTCCAAGACTATGCTTAGAGTGATAAAGACTCCGGTGCGGCCCACACCAGCACTGCTCAGAAAACAGCTGGGTCAGAAGTCTTGTTCACCTTAGGCAGCAGAGCTGCCTGGTCTGTAGGACCACCTCCCACCTCTGGCCCTCCATGGGAGCAGCCCCACCTGCAGTGCACAGTGATGGGACCGTCCTGACCAAACTGCTCCTTGGTCTTGTGCACTTGACCAATGAAGTCGATGAAGCCCTCCCCGGTCTTGGGTACGCCCTGCTCAGGCCAATCTGTGAACTGGAACTGCCGTATTGTCCTCGATTGCCCATCCTGGGAGGGGTAGGCAAGGGACTGGATTAATGTGTTTGTTTTTTAATTAGTACACATTTGTAGTATACAATGACTCCATTCAGCATGGCAAACAAGGTTTGTGTCTCAGGCTATAGCCCCTGGGCTGGGCTGCAGCAGTAAAGAGCATCCCCCTGTGAAGCTGCCAAACATGGAGACCCTGGGAGACAGGCTCCATCCTCACCTTGAATCTGCAGTTCCAACTCAGCCTCTGTGTGGGCAGCCCCACCCTGTGCTCAGGCTGAGCAGTGGACATGCTCAGGTGCATACTCACCCGTGCATCTGTGACCTTGAACTCACGCAGGATGTACTGGGGCATGTTGTACTCAGCCATCGGGTCAACGACAAAGTACTGGTAGCGAGCAGAACGCTCTGCAGGCCAGTACTGGTGGCACTTCTCCTGTGGACAGAGAGCCCGTCTCCACAGTCAGGTGAAGAGGAAGGGGAAGGGAGCTGCAGGATTCAGGAAACTCGGCCAGGGCACCTTGGGTGCTGGTTAGGGAGGTCTGAGGCTATGCTGATGAAACTGGGGTGTAGAAGGACAGCATAAGGGCAGCCCTCATGGGTGGCTATTCTCCCACATGTGAGAAGGGCCTGAGGGGAAGGGGTGGGCTCACCCTGCCCATCTCCCGAAGCTTGGTCAGCATGACGATGATGGTAGAATTGTGCTCCCATAGCATGCGCCAGAAGTCCTCGGTGCTCTCTGCCAGAGGCCCCTGTGTAGCTATGTAGGCCTTCTGCTGTCTGGGTGGACATAAGACTGGACATGCTGGAGATGCTGCTGCTCCCAGCCTCCCTGAGACAGCCTGGCCCCTTGAGGCACTGCTCAGAGTACCCCTCCTCTAGGAAGCCCTCACTGTTCTGCCCAGCCCACTCTGGTCCTTTAGGCTGGCCCTATGGTGTTGCCCACCCCTGCCATCCAGCTGCAGGCCAAGGCCTGAGCGTGCTGACCTATAGCCATCCAAGAAGCTGGCATTGATGTAGTCGGAGCCCTCCACACCACGGATGGGCTGCAGACAGACACGGGTCAGTTCATAGGGCATGATGTTCACCAGGCGGTTCTTGAACTTGTTGCAGGGCAGGTTTGCACTGATGAAGCGAGATGTGTGAGCCTTGGAGCTGGCTAGCAGCTGTTGAAAGGGAAGGTTAAGTCAGAACTGATTTTCACTGATGGGGTCATGCCCACGAGAGCCAGTTCATGTCTCTGGAGCCAAGAGACCACCAAACCCCACCTTGAACTCCAGCTCCATGGCGGTCACACTCTCCCCAGGAGGCACTTGGCCCAGCTTCTGGATGTGGGCGTAGAGGTTGCGGGCAGGCACCTCTGTGTGTCCACACATGGCTGCCTCCAGCAGTGCCTCATGGATGAACACATACTGGTCCTCTGTCTGTACCATGTAGTTCCTCTGTGATCGCATGCACGTCACATGGCCATAGATGTCAACTGTCTTCTCATGTTTCATACGCTCCAGCATGGCATCGATAACGATGAAGCAGCCTGTGCGGCCCACACCAGCGCTGCAAGATACGGTTCAGCTTACAGTGCAAGTCCCTCTTTCCCCCAAACTGCTGTTTGTCTTTTTGAGACAGGGTCTCACTATGCAGTTCAGCCTGGCCTTGAGTTCACTTTGTAGCCAGGCTTGACTACAACGTCTCAAACTTGCAACAATCCTCCTATTTCAGCCTCCCAAGTGCTAGGAATACAGGTGTGTGCCACCACATCTGGCTGCTTTGGTGTTTTGGATTGACTGAGGATTAAAATCAGGGTCTCCTGCATGTTAAGTAAGCATTTTACTTTTGAACCACATCCTCAGTTTCATTTTGTTTTCTTTTTATAATTGTAATTTGAAGGCTGGGCATGGTGGCACACACCTATAGACTGAGCATTCAGGAGGCTGAGGCAGGAGGATTACCATGAGTTTCAGGGAAGTCTAAATTACATAGTGAGTTCAAGGACAGTCTGGACTACACAGCAATACCCTGTCTCAAAAAACAAAAACAAAAATAAAAACAAAATTAGCTTGAGATAGGCTCTCACTAAGTCCATCTAAATTGGCCTTGAACCTGTTACTCTCCTGCTTCAGCCTTCCCACAGCAGAGATTACAGACACGTGCCACCACCCTCTGCTCCACCCCAATCTCCCAGACACGTCAGAGCCTCTCACCTGCAGTGCACCACCATGGGCCCTGCATCCAGTGGGTTGCAGGCTTTGACCCTTCGCAGGAAGGCCAGGATGGGAGTTGGGTACTCGGGAACCCCATGGTCTGGCCAGGCCATGAACTGGAACTGACGTAGCTCCCGCTTCTCACTGGAGCCACTCTGGGAGACAAAATCGAGAGAGGAAGTAATGAGGAGTCTGTCTGCCACAGATTCAGACCTACCACTCCTGGATGGGACTGCGAAGCCACATGAGGTACCCGGAAGGAACTGTGCACTGTTCCTGTCATACAGGCCATCGTATGGGACTCCCACCTCTTCAACACCCAAGGGGGCTTTCCTGTCCCAGCCCACAACACTCAGGCTGTACCTTGTGGAGTGCAAAGGTGCGCACAGTATATGTGGCCAGCTCCACTGTGTCCAGCAAGGTCACCTGAATGAGGCCGTAGGTCTCGGTGCCACGGGCTGGCCAGTACTGATCACACTTCACCTGTGCAGGGATGGGCAAAGCAAGGCAAAGAACCCAGTTGATGACACTGGAAGATGCCCAAAAGCACAGGCAGGTGGAAGTGGAGAAGCTTCAGATTTCAGCTACAAGGCCCCCTATCCCTGAGTTGCACTGTTAGTGCACTGTTGGATGGTGATCGTGCTGTCATCATCCCTGCCCTCAATGGCAGAACTACGGCTGTAATTGAAAATTATTTATTCAAGGCCAGATCGCACCAGGCACATTTTCTGCCAAATTTACCCATAACGTTTATGTCTCATTTTCAAGCTCTGTAAATTTTATGTTCCAGTCAATGCTTTGCAGTGTGAAAGCACATAACAGCAGCTCTTTCCACTAATTAACTTAGGAGATGTGTTAATACCCCAGGAACACTCTGGCATCTGGGGAACACGTGGGCACCCCAGGAACATGCCAACAACTGGGGAACACATTAGCATTCCAGAAAACGATAGCATTCGGAGAACCATGTTAACATACCAGAAAACCACTAACATCTGGAATATGGAACATGCCATCTTCCAGAAACACCCGCCAAGCTGGGGAACATGACAATACTCCAAGAAAACAACTGCACTTGAGGAACTCCCCAAGGAACTTCTGCCCACAGGGAGAAAATAACGTGCCCAACAGGACGCAGCACTGAGGGACGTCCTTTCTACCTCCCAGCAGGCCCCTCTGCCTCACCCGAGATTTCTCCTCCAGCCTTGTCATCATGACCACCGTAGCTGTGCGCTGTTCCCACACCATCCGCCAGAAATCACCCATGGTCTCAGGCAGTGGACCCTGTGTGGCGATGTAGGCGTTCTGCTTGCGGTAGCCATCGATGTAGTTGGCATTAATATAATCACTCCCAGGGACACCTACAGATGGAAGGGACATGGGAAAGTACCAACTCAGGGTCCCTGAGACAGCTTGGCATCTTTGGTAGGATGCCACCCCAGCCACAGAAGAAATAACAAGGAGGTAGGATAGAGCTCTCTCCTCAGCTCACCATCGATGGAGGTCAGGATGACTCGGGAGTGGTCGTAGGCAATGACATTCGCATACCGGTTTTTGGGCTTATTCACCTCCAGGTTGGAATTCTCCCACGTGAACTGCTGCCCGGGGTCAATGGACTGTGCAGAAGGGAAGCAGCAAGTGAAGTTGAGTGGGGAGCCAAGGGACAGCTGCCTCTCCGGGGGACTCAGCCTTCTAGCTGGTACCCACACTCTGTGAACTTCACTCTGTGGACCATAATCAGCTAGCCAAGTGCCTGTGGGGCCACGAAGCTGACTGCCACCCATGTCAGCCAAGGAGCTGCCAAATGCCTATCATGGAAGTGATGGATCCAGAGGCTCCTTTGACCACAGCATTAAATCTGGCTGACAGGTTTAGAGTGGGGGCAGGGGAAAGGGCCCTACATCCAACTAAGGAAATAAACAGAAACAGACAGAACCAACAGCAGCCTCCTGGTCTGTGCAGCAACCAGCTAGAGCTCTGGACACCACGCTCGACCTCGTTGGGCTCTCTTCACCTGTGATAGTTTTTTCCCTGCCTGCTCTCCTGCTTCTGCCCTGCTCATAGGGAAGACACAGCCTCCTCCACCACCTTTCCTAGGTGGCCTCTGTTGCTTGCAAGATTTCTTTCTTTTTCAGTACTGGGAGACTGAACCTAGGTTTTTCACTGAACTACATCCCCAGCCCCTTTTTAAATTTTGAGATAAGAATCTCACTGAGGGGCTGGGGATTTAGCTCAGTGGCATAAGTGCCTGCCTTGCAAGCAGGCAGTTGTGAGTTCGACCCCTGGTACCGATAAAAACGAAAAGACAAAAAAAAAAAAAAAAAAAAGAATCTCACTGAGTCACTAAGTTGGCTGGGATAGGTGTGAATTTGTGTTTCTCCTGCCTTAGCTTTCCAGAGTCCTTGGATTACAGGAGTGTACTGCCACGCTTACTGTTTGTGGGATTCTTACACTTATATACCAGAGCTGTCTGTTTCCAGCTGCAATCCAGAGTTCCCCTCAGCATACCTAGAAGCCTCTGGGACATGTCCACCTGGAGGTCTCACATCATAGACCCTTCGGTCTCAATTCTTTCAAAGCCAAGCCCATCAACTTCCCCTCCACACACTGGGATTCAACACCCCTGCCATCATTCCCCCTCGCCTAATGCCCACCCTGCTTGGTGCTCCCCAACTCACTACCACTGCCCCCAGCTGGCCCACCCAACTTAAGCTTGACGACTCCCTGCCCCTTCCCTCTCGCACTCTGTAACCCACATTATCCTGCGATCGGAATGGTTCTTCAAAAATACAGATGTGTGGCTGGGGATTTAGCTCAGCGGCATAGGCGCGCCTGCCTTGAAAGCAGGCAGTCGTGAGTTCGATCCCTGGTACCGATAAAAACAAAAAAGACAAAAAAAACCCAAAACAAAACAAAACAAAAAAAAAAAAACGCAGATGTGAATAACCATTTCCTCCTTAAACACCTCCTGTGCTCTTCCGCACCTTTGATAGTGGTAACATCCAAGAGCTAAGTCTCAGTGGAGAATGGACAGTGAGCTCAGCACTAGGTACATCTCTGTCTAATTCTCATATAAGACAGGCCCTATTACCACCCTCGTTTTACAGATGGATATAATACAGAGAGCACAGAACAGAGGTCTTCCAAATGCTACCCAAGCCTTGCTGCTCTCTGTGGGTTGGTGTTGCTGCCTCCTCCCAGGAGGGCCTAGGCACAGCTTGGCCTTGGGCTGCCTCGGTGCTGTCAGTCTCCCCTCTTTATGTATCAACAGTCGCCTTTACACCAGGACACATAGGTGCAGAGATACATTCAACACTGGCAGCTTGTTTGCACGTGTTTTCCCACTCATATGTCCCTGAGGACATTTGTCTCTACATCCCTGGGGAGTGGCACATGGTAAGTGCTCAATGATGTGTAATGAGTAACAGAACACAGAAGGTAATAGAGCTGTGGGATCCTGGCTTCTGGGTAGAAGGTCTTGGAAGAAAAGCTCAGGTCAGAGAAGAGGGGTGGACAGGTGGCAGTGGATCACTGTGAGCAGAGGTCCTATGAGCCTAGACAGTAGGAAGAAGGGCAGATGTGAGACATGGCACAGGTGAGCATGGGTTGCAGACCAGGCCAGATAAAGAGCTGGAGGCAAGAAGCCCAAATAAGGAGATTTCTGACTCTCAGCAAGGCTGTACACAAAGCGGCATTGGACTACAGGCGAATTACACTGCTCTGCAGCAGACCTGTTCAGCAGTCTGCCTGCCAAGCTCAATTTCCTTTCCGTAGCCTGGCCACCACCTTTGGAAATGTAATCCCGGTACCCTGGATGTATCCTCCACAGCTGAGGGTAGACACCCAACTGGAGGGGGACCAAACTACAAGAGTCTCAGCCAACCCATCCATCACCTATCCATCAATCACAGTGTAAAGCCTGTGCCAAGTGCTAAGAAGAGTGACAGAAGAGGCATACAGACATCTTCACTTGTGCTTCCTAGAGAAGGTAGGGAAGGGTAGAGATGGTAGAGAAGGTATCACATTATTCTTTAACAAAGCTCCACCAGCAGACAGCCTGGGGACAATCACTCCTCCCCTACCACCAGCTAAGGGCACAGCAGAAGCCTTCCAACTTTGAAGTCTGAGTCTCCAGAAGGGAAAAATCAATGCCACAGTGGGTGTGCATCTGTAACTCCAGGTACTCAGGAGGCTGAGATGGGAAAATCCCAAGTTCAAGGTCAGCCTGGGCAATGTGATGAAAGACCAACTCAAACACAAAACAAAATGACAAAACACACACAAAGTAAAACGAAAGGCCAGAGGTGAGTGTGTAGAGGGACCACGCACTCTATGAACTCCAGTGGGGCTGCTGACATGAGTGAGTCTGGGTTCCCACCACACCTGCCTGGGGACAGCTCATCTGCCCCTCACTGGCACAAGTCAGCCTTGGGAGTCAGGGAACACTGCTGTCTGGCACCAAGTATGTGAAAACAGTAATCAAAAATATAGGGCACAGATGTTACACATGCCTGGACTGGAGTCCCGGCTCCACTACTCATCCACTCTGACCTTGGGCAAGTCACCCCCTTCCAGGCCCCCCATCCTCACTGGTAAGGCGGGACAGTAACAGTATTGTTTATAAGACTGAAGGCATGAGCAAGAGATGTCCATAGTGCCCTGCTAGTGCTAGTCTGCAGCAAGCACTGAGGCCAGCTATGGAGGTCTACATCTACCTAGGACACCTGGGCACGGATCTAGGCACCAAGCACAGCCTTCTAGAGGATCCCCTGGGTGGGGAAGTGACTACTACAAGGGTTGAGTGGGGCCCAGTGCCCGAGGATGTGTGCACGCAGCTGAATCTCGGTGCTGTTAGCCGCCTTCCTCTCTGTTTCGGCAAAGCCTGGAGCCAGTGGAACCTGGGCAAGAAAGGGCAACCCAGGGCTGGTGAGGGCAATGGAGGTGATGAGAGACATCTCACCTCATACTCCTGGGAGAACTTGAGGCCATCATTGGCTTTGAGGCGCTCGATGTTGTCTGCCAGGTCGGTGATAGGGATGGGTGGGTGGTCTCGCATACCTGGGGAGGCAGGGCACACAACAGAAGTTACAGCAAGGCCTGGGCAGGGTGGTGGGGACAGCCCCAATGCATGTATGTGCACAGGTGAACATATGTGACCATGGAGCACTTGGCACTGGTGGCATGGAGACGGCAGCACATGCAGCGGCAGGGACAGGAGCACACAGTGGCTGAGGGGTGGAAGGGAACCGGTGTGTATGCTGTGAGCATGTGGAAGCATGTGTAGGTGACACGGTGCTGTGTAGGGGCACTAGGGCTCTGCCTGGCAGGACCACTCAAGAGGAATGAGAGGTATCCAGGCTGGGGCTGTGAGCCCAGGTCAGCTGCAGCTGACAGGATGGAATCTGGGATCCCAGCACACCTGCCCCACACTGGCAAAAGTCACCAGAGTAGGATTCTGTGATACTGTCATTCCAGGCACCGAGTATGTAGATGGAGTAATCACAAAGTCCAGAGACAATGACAGAGTGACGCAGAGAAACACAGAAAGCGGAGAGATGGGGGAACAAGGCGTAGACGCAAAGACAAGGAAACCGGAAACAACAAAGTGTTGAGAAGACAGCAGAGGGGACAGAGACAAGGAGAGAAGGTGGGCTATGGGAGAAAGAAGTGGGGAAGCTGGGTGGGTAGAGAGGAGGGGAGGACAGAGACAAGGGCACAGCTGAGAGGGGAACGCAGGAAAGGGGGAAGAGCAGGAAGAGGGAGCAGACAAAGGGAGAAGAGTAGAGGAGTGGAAACAGACACCAAAGCCAAAGTTTCTCCAAGCATGGAAACTTTGAAACTAACTTGAGATATTCGGGCAACTGGGGGCACTGGAACCTGCAGAGAAACCAAAAAAAGTGGGGTTTGCTCAAGCCCATCAACCCTGTCTGGTCACACAGCTACGATTGGACAATGTAGGGGGCAAGGAGCAGGGTAACATGGGAGGGAAGGCTGAAGTGAGGGGCCAGGGCCATGGGACTGCACCCACAACCAGTCCCATTACCTCCCAAGACAGACATGTGCCCACCTCCACAGTGAATGCTCCCAAATTCCACAGACCTGGGTGACCTCAAGACTCTTTTTATAAGCAAATACTAAATCTAAACCAACCCATGTTCCTCCTGGTATCAAAATTTGGCCTCAATTATTTTTAGATGGTTCCCATACTGGAAACAAGAGATCCCTTATCGATCCCACACCCCTCTCCTCTCTTCCTTCACATATTCTTTCCTCAATGCTGAACCCTCGACACTCTGACCACTGTAAAGGGTTTCTCTGCATTCTCCTTTGTTACTCCTCAACCCCCAGAAATGCTGAAACAAAGCTGCCACAAGACCCCACTGCCAAAGCCAGCACTCCCCGCTCCTGGGGCTCCTACTGCTCCGCGTCACTTGGTCCCCTCCCATGTGCGGCTCTTGCAGCCCTGATTTCAGGGACACTGCTCTGCCAGTCTATTCTTTCTTAACGCTCCACCAATCTTCCTTGCTGGCTACTTCTCCTTGCCATTCTCGGCCTGGAAAAGGCCAGGACCACCACCTTCCTGGCAGCACCTCCCACACGAGTGGTTTTTTTTTTTTTGGAGGCCAGCACAGATCCTAAGGGACTTAGGCTGAGCCCTGCTGTCCCCCTTGCTTCCTTCATGCTTCCCAAGTTTGTCCCTTCTTTCTGTCCCAAGTGTCACTTTCTGCCTACTCAGTAACTTAGTCCGCTATCCTGATTGCTCTTCCTTCAATCCAATGTTCTCACAGCAGCCAGAGTGGTATTCTTCCAGCACAATTCCACCCTTTCTGCTCCCCTTAGTGTAGACCTTAGCGTCTCCCTGGGACATTCAAAGTAAAATGCAAGCCCTTCTGCAACAGGAGTTCTGCTACACCTCCAGTCACCTTTTGGCTCCAATGCTGCAGCAACACTGAAGGGCTCATAACTCAATACTCATGCAATTCCTCTACTCGGAAGAGCCACTTCCCACCCCCTTCTTTGAACAATGCTCGCATGAGTGGCACCCCTTCCAGAGCAGGTTTTTCTGACCTCTGGTGCCACCAGCCCAATGCTTGGATTTCTCATAGATTCAATCATGCTGGTTGCAACAGACTGCTAGGTCTGCCTGACATGCTCTCTTAGGACAGACACATGTCTTTGGGGCTCAGTCACCATGGTGTGAGGGGATATAAAGAGGCCTTATGTGGGTGGCCTCGATGACAGCCCTACCGGGCTCACAGATGACTCATAAACCACTGGTCACTTGAATGAACCAGTCTTTACCATCCGGGGTTCGCAGACTCCCCTATGGAAAGCCAGAGTATTAGTTATTTCAGGCTTTGCCAGCATCAGTATCTATTGTACCTACTTAAGTCTGCCTTGTAGTACACACATATACAGAAGTGAATGAGAAAATTTTATTTACAAATGCAGGTGGTAGGCTGTATCTGGCCACAAGTCATCGTTTTCCAACCTTTGGTTTAAAAGATCTAGCTCCCAGACTTTGAGTCTTCCAGCTGAGGGCTCAGACATACTGGAACAGAGACGCTACTCCTGCTTTTCCCTCTCTGAATTCTTGACTCACAGAAACTGTGAGAGATAATAAATATTACTGTTTTAAGGTGCTAAGTTTTGGTATAATTTGATACGTGGTAATAACCAGCTCATACATACACAAACCCACTGTGTGTGCATTAGTTCACTCATTTAATCCCTTAAGTGTCTGAAATTTCATAGACATTGAACAACCTACAAGGTGCTCAATCAAGGACAAGGAGTGAATAAGACACAGCTGGTGCCACAGAGCTCAGAGATGGTGGCTGAGGAACAACTCCAGGCTTTGGTGAGCAGCGTCCCAGCGGAAGCAATGCTCTGGGAGTGAAAGGCACCCAACATGGGGTGGGGGCTTATCCCAGGAGGTGAGGTCTGAGTTGTACCACCAGAGTATGGGGAGGAGTAACATCTCAGACAGAAGAACAGCTGGACAGCACAGGACAGTAGCTGGGAAGAAAGGGCAGGTACCAAACTGTGAGCTAGGGTCCCTGTTTCTGTATGGTGAGACTTGGAGTTTGTCTCCAGGAGGGGTCAGGTGTGGGTCCCTTGTGCCCCTGCAGGTGTCTGCTGGGGCTTTTTTACTGCAGCATGCCTCTTTCACGTGGAGAGCCATCCTGTGGTGATGACGTGGTCTCTGGGGGCTCCTGCTAATCCACACTCAAGAGACCCTGACCAAAAGCACACAGGAGGTAATGGGCAGTTCTGTTGCCCTGAGGGACTAATTGGCTCTGGGAGCCTGTCTGGCTGCTGGATATGGGGCTCTGAGTCATTTCAGTCCAAAGAAAAGTGCAAAAAGGAAGAAAAGCAGCAAGAAATGTGGGCATGCAGCTGGGTTCCTTCAGTGGGGAGGCGCAACCTACAGAACAGAGACTGCAGACCTGATTAGGCTGAAGGCAAGCAGACCAAGGTGCACCCTACCTGGGGTTTGGTAGTTGAGTCTCCTCATCTCCACAGGGTCAGAGGAGTGAGCCAGCAGGGAGTCTTTCAACCCAATTGACTGCTCATCCTTTGATGATGGGGAGTGGGTTCTTTTCCTACAGAGACACAAAATGGCTGGTGGGACCCTGAGGTTCAAGCCAAGGACAGCTGGCTTCTACCAAGCCCCATGTCCCCAGCTCTGCCCCTACCACCACCCCACCTCATCCTGGAGTCTGAGCATGGAAGAGCCAGGGCAGAGCAGCCTCAATGTGCAAGAGGAGTGGGGAAGGGAAACAGCAGTAGTGTGCAGACAGAAGGAGCAGTGCTGAGGGAGGAAAGGGTCTCAAAGGCCAGTGGCTCCTTTAGACAGAAGCCAGTTCACTGCTGGGCAGTGGCTGCTATCCCTGAGACTACCACAGTAGAGGGAGCAGAAACCACCAAAATAAACATGCAAATAACATGGAAAATACACAAACACCATGGGGCACTGGGTCCCAACTGTCTGAATCTTGAGGTATAAGGGTAAATGCTCAGAGCAGCAGGGCAGGGACTAGAAAGGCATCACCCTAGCCGGGCAGAGTCCTCTCTTACTGGCCTCGGCCTCCCCATTTATAAGGATGGGGTCAGATGGGCTAAAGGAGTGATGGCAAGCCTTTTAGAGCTTCCAAAATGATAACAGCCAGCTGTGGCACATGTGCTATAGGTTTTCGATTACTGGATTACATGGTCCAGCTGCTGAACAACACCCAGGGTCACCTGTGGTCTGTGCACATATGTTGGGAAAGGAACTTGTGAGCATGCTCAAGTGTGTGTATGTCAGATGGTTTCTTGAAGCAACTGGATAATTTCTTGGAGAACTGGGAGCCTCAGGAGGGTTCTGGTGAGCTCTGTGGACTCAAGGAAACACCAGAGGCTGCTTTGTATGTGTATTCCCCACAGGAGAAGCATCCTCTACAGAGGGTCCAGAGTTGAACAGGCAGGAGAGCACACAGCTTGGCCCTCATGCCCTCGAGGACTCGTCCCGTACTGGGGAGTCTGCTGTGCTGACTGGATGATTTGCTGCTTAAAGTCACAGGCCAGAAGGCTTCCAGTCAGAGCATTGTCCCTCCCTGCTGGCCTGAGGTGTGAAGGGATAAGAAGTAGATGGGGAGGTGCGTGAACAGAGAAGGAATGACTCCTACCTTTCTTGTTTACTAGGTCCCGAAAGACAGGCAAGGACAGAAGAAAGGAATGGTCATTGTTTCTGTCATGTGCTCAGCCCTCACATGACCAGGGGACAAGGCAGGAACCTTCCAAGGCACTCACATGACATTCAGGGAATGGGGCACTGCTCAGGACCACCCACAGGTCTGTTCACCCTGCCTCCAGGTGGGAGTGCTGCCCAATGAGCACGGGAGAGGTGGCACAGTGGAGACAGGCACTCACTCCCGTGGAGTCATGTCAGACACACGGACCAGCATGCACTCATGTGCAAGGTGTTCTATGACATGCTTGTGTATTTGGCCCTGCGGTAGGAGCTGTACATTTAGCACACTTGGCTGTAGGCCCAGCATGAGTCCAGTGTAACATTCTGGGGCAGATATAGTGTTGTGCTAAGTGACAGGAGCCAGAGAAATGATGAAGTTGTAGCTGGAGAGCTGTAGAAGACAGGAAGGCTCAGCCTCCACTTGTCTGGGAACTGCCTTAGTTCCATTCAGTGATGTCAGGGACACAGCGGGGACTAGACTACACAGGCACTGCTGTCAGTCTGAAGAGGCTGGGCTTCATATTGGGAGTCATCAAAAGGTTTTAAAGTGAAGTTGATGAACTTAAATCTCTAGAAACACCTTGGAAGCTGTGAGGTAGCCAGAAAGGAAACTCCTTCATCAGGTGGCTGCAACTACCCAAGACAGAGGACCGTGTTATACTGACAGATACTGAGACAGCTCTGACTATATGGGTGCAATGGGACTTCATGATGCTCTGTGGGATGTGGGCCTGCATTGCATCTCTGCACACCTAAGCAGGAGACTGAGGCCAGAGAACCGGTTAGGAATAGCGGCAGAAGGAAGTACCTAAGCTAGGGGACCAAGACAGAACGGTATCTGGACGTTAACGAGACAAACACACTCACAGCCATAAAAATAGAGATGGGACAGACATGCCTGGGGATACACCTAAAAACAGCTCCTCTTTGGGAAGTCTAGCCCTTGTACACCCAGGTGCGCGCGTGCACACACACACACACAGGTTTCCCTATCCCCATCACACACACACACACACACACACACACACACACACACACACACACACACGGGTTTCCCTATCCCCATCTCACACACACACACACACACACACACAGGTTTCCCTATCCCCATCTCTCTCTCTCTCTCTCTCTCTCTCTCACACACACACACACACACACACACACACACACACACACACACACGGGTTTCCCTATCCCCATCAGACTGACACACATATACACATGCAGGCACACACCTGAGTACTGCTTCTGCTGGTCCTGGCTTCCACTATGCCCATGGGCTAGCTGGGATGGCTGCACTTACACGTTATATACTGTACCCAGACAGGGCCCAAGAAGAGTGGGTAGGTGCTGTCTCCCAGAGCCCTGAGCACAGCACTCACCTCTTAAAGAGGAGGATGGCGATGACAATGAGTATGATAAGGATGACCGCCAGGACAGGACCCGTCACCCACAGCATCTCAGGTTCTTCCTGCTGCTGGGCTGGTGTCACCTGGACTACAATCTCATCCGAATAGGGGCTGGAGGCGTAGCGCTTCTGTGGCCCAGTGGAGGAACAGCACAGTAAGCTCAGTGCGAGACCCCCTCATCTTCAACCTATCGCACCTGGAAAGAGGGCTTTGGGGCTGGGTTACATGGGCTGAGGAGCAAGATTGAGTCCGTGGGGCCAAATCAGATTTGGCCTTCTGAATCCTGGGGCATAATGTCTTGGGATATGTAATACATGTTTTAGAGGCTGCCCCAGGCTGGGGATTTTAAGAGTCCCTGGGCTGACATAGACTTGGGGTCTCCCTGGCATTTGAGACTAGGCTTATGCTAGGTCAGGTGTGGGGTTTCGGGGTGCTGAGAGCCAACCTAACTTAGGCAGACCTGGTCCACAGGTTCCTTCAAGGAGGCGAGCACAAAGCACTGGTAACTCAGGTCTGGAGAGAGGGGCTGGTTGTAGAAGCCAAGGTAGGTCTTCTTGTCCCCCAGAGTGAACGTATCAGGGAGCACATCCATCTGAGCTGCCACATACGGCTTCAGCCGGTCTACCTGCCGCCGCCGCCTCCTCTGCTGCACTTCACTCTGCTGCTCAATGGCCTCCAGAAGCTGGGAGAACAGAACATGGAGTCACACATAGCCTTGGAGCACATTGCCCTGGGCTGTAGTCTGGGATATAACCTTCTATGTCAGGGACCCATGGCTGGCCTGCTCCCTGCCTCTATGGAATAATGACAGCTTTGCAATACCACTCTTCCCACCATTCTGTGGGAAGAGGCCTATGGGCAAATTCATCCTAACTAGAAAGGCAGTCACCACCCTACCTGTGAGGACAGAGCCTCCACACATTAAAGGCGGTTCACTCTGGCCCCTCTATGGTCTCTGTATCCAGGAGACTATTGTAAGTCCACAACGCCTAAGCTTCTTCAGTGCTACAAATGTTTCCATTGCTCCCCAACCCAGGGAATTCTTGCTGGTACCTCTGGGAATTCACCATAAGCCCTCCTGGAGTTCTCTGAATACTCCCAGGGGTTCCCCTCAGAGTCCTTTTCTCTAGGGAGAGAGCAGGCTGCCAGCTGACGCAGTCAGAGAGTGATTTCAATTGGGGAGTCCATCGGGGCAAAGCTACTGCAGACTATTGCCAGGCACTGCCATTGGAGCCAGTTCCCTCCCCAGGCACCTCATCCAGTTCCAGTTCTTCAGGTGTGCTCCATCTCGGTGCCAGCACATTTCCACCTACACGGTCAATGGGCACCACCACAATGTAGAACCACCTAGGTGGGCAGAGCAGAAGTCAGGACTGCCATCACCAGCAGCCAGTCCCAGCCCTTACCCAGTCTCCTCTGCACACCTGACCAGTGAGGGGTCCTGCACAGGGGGCATAGAGAGAGTAAACTGGCCATCCTCTATGTAGGCTGAGGCAGGCAGTGGCTTGTGTGGCAGGATGTCCGGGGCTGTGCGGATGGACACGAGGTGCTGTAGGCCCCCTGCACTGTTGCCACGGTTCATCAGGACAAATGAGTACTCTGTGTTGGGCTGCAGGTCTGAGATCAGCTTGCGCATTGAGTGCCCGTCTACCTCCACACTCTGCCCATTGTACAGAATCTGCAGGGAATGGGAACAGTGTATGGCAAGGCCTGTCCATGAGGTTCCTGACCATGTTGTGCAGGCGAGGCACATGCACAGCCAGGCCCCAGGTCACACACACACATGTGTGGGCTGGGACTGGAATGACAGCACCCAGCAGGAGGTCTGAGTGTTGGTCTGGGCTGGCTGTGGCCCTCACTCACCTTGAAGGGTACAGCTGACTTGTACGAGTCTGGGACCTCCCAGCTGAGCAGTACAGATGTCTTCATTGCAGCAGCCACGCGGAAGTTCTTGGCAAACACTATGGAGGCATAAACAAAGAGTCAGCAAAGGCTGAGGCAGAGTGAATAGACCACAGGATGAGACACTGGCCAGGGCATCAGATGTTGAGGATGGCTACAGAGAACCAAGCATCCCTGCTCCTAGCTAGCTTCAGATCACTGTCCAACTCCCAGCCTGAGCTCTTCTGCAATGAGCACTGAAGAGGGTGGGGATGACATCCACAGCCAGAATGTCCAGAAGAGTGTGGGTAAAAGCTTGAGCTCAAGATACTAGATCAGAGTATCCAAAGGTCAGTAGGTCCTAGTCATGAGAAGCATGTGTCCACAGCCTACAGCATGGTGAAGTATGTTCGAAAGGGTTAAGTGGGCCACAGCCCTCAGAGATTAGCGCCACACACCAAAGATCAGTAGGTTGCACACCCAAGAATGGCAATGCAGTCCTAAGAAATAAGCAAATTAAGGTCACAAGAGACTGGAAGGTCACACAGCAGAGGTCAGTAGGTAAAAGACAGCAGAAGTCAAGGGTCATACACCCAAGAACACGGTGTCTATTCGCTAGAGGTTAGTGGTCACAGTCATGAAAGATTCAAGGGTCACATAGCAGGGGCTGGTGGATCGTGGATGCCAGAGGTCAGTGGGTCAGAGAGCAGACGTCCCCAGGTGCAGCCACTGGCACGCTACAGCACACACCTTGCTCCACAGGCATGGTCCGGGACTGGATGCTGGGGCTGAGTGGGCCAGTGCCTTTGCTGGTTTGTGCTCGGACCTTGATGTCATAAGTGGTATCCGGCTTGAGGCCGGACAGTGTAAGGTGGGTATCAGCAGTGATATTCTGCAGCTCCTGCTGGCTGTTGATATCACGGTACACCACAGTGTAATTGGTGATACGCCCGTTCCTCTCAGCTAGTACTGGCGGGTCCCAGGCCAGTTCCATGGTAGATGTGGTTAGTCCTGTCACTTGAAGGTTTTGAGGGAAGCCACTGGGCACATCCTCAGGGGTCGTGATCTCCTTCTCAAACTCCTCACCTGGGCCAGCCCGGTTCTTGGCAGCAAGCCGGAAGATGTATGTGGCCCCCTTGTGTAGGCCAGTAACTGTAAAGTGCTGGTCATCTTTGCCAAAATCTATGACGTTGGGCCGTGTCTCATCGGCCCGGCGGTACTGCAATCGATAGCCCAGCAGCTCACCAGGCAGCTCCTTTGGTGGGTGCCACTGAAGCAGCGCAGTGTTCATAGCTGTGGTGCTAATCATCATGGTGGGCCGGCCTGGGACTAAACAACCATGCAGGGGGTTCTCATGCTGCCCTGCTCCCACCTACCCCCAGCTCTGTCCCTGACCCCTCACTTACCTGCCCCTGTTGTAGTAACAATTTTGGGTTTGCTTCGGGCACCGTCCCCCTTGGTAGTGTAGGCGGCAACAGTGATGGAGTAGGTGGTCTCTGGGGTGAGACCGCTGATGGTGGTTTCCTGGAGGGGAGGAGGGACTGTTTCCCATCACAGTGTGTAGGAAGAGGCCACAATGGTCAGTTGCCTCAGCACTCCAGCCTGCAGCTGTCACCCAGGCGCACAGGGCCACAGGTCTTGGGAGGTGGGACAGTACAGTACTAGAGTCAGCTGCAGGCAGGGCAGCCAGGCGGGATGTGGGGTGGGAGGACCTGCACATCCCAGAGCTGCAGGCCTGGGGCAAAAAGCGCTTTCTTACTTTCAGAGAAGAACAAAGAGCCGTACTATTTCTTTTACTCCATTGTGCTATGAATGACAACTCCTGAGGTCCCTGCACACATTTACACACTGGGCACAGAGCCTCGCACATACCCAGCACCTTGCATGACTCTTGGCACGCACATGCGGACTGCAGCTGCTCCTGCACAAGCAGGTAAAGGGCCACTTGCAGACACTAATGTAAACACGGACAAATTTGGAGCAGGGGTGGAGAGGTGGGCCAGGGTACCACCCTACAGGTCAGGACCATGGGTGGGTACCATCCAGGCCAATGATTCTGACAATGTCCACAGTCCACAGTCCCTCCTGAGATCAGAGAGGAGTGGGGAGTAAAGAGGAGGGCAAAGAACCCTTCACACCCGAAGAAAGTACTTTCTGTCTGTTCCCACTGAGGCCTGAGAAATCAGCCAGGGCATCTCCTTCACCCTGGCAGTTCCTGCCCATACACCCATTTCCAGCAGAGGCATCATTTCAGGACATGCGGAAATACACCACAGGAGGCCAAGCTACAACACACAGCGAGAAGAATGGGAAGAAGAGAAGGGATCACCGTGCAGTGGGAACAGTGCTATTGCCACCAACCCTGGTGTCCCTCCAGCTCAAGCCTTGAATGGGGTCATTACAGCTGCCAACATCCCACTAAGTCCCTCTCCTGCTCCAGCTGGAGGGTCTCCCAGGGCTGGGGTTCCAGCAGCACCAATGCTGGACCCATCTCTCTATAGACTCTTCTCCCAGCTTGGGCCCTGAGCAGGTGATTTTTCACTCCTGGGGATCAATAAGGCCTAATGATCAAGATTGGATTTAACTCCATTGCTGTCTGGCCAGAGCAGGGGCCAGGCTCTGGTCGATCATGAACATTGGCCTTAAATTGCTGCTCAACAGGCAAAAAGTAAGGATTAGAGGAAACGCCAATCGCTGCTCAGCTTGGTACTAGCGTCTAAACGCCAATTTTCTCGGGATGTGGCTGGTGCCCTGTGGATCTTGGCAACACAGGCTGGGAGGAAAGAAGGGAGAGAGGAGTGTCCCATGAGCCCAGCCTGACCCAATTCTGCCCACGCTTGCACACCTGTTACTTACATAGTCCTCGGACTCCTCTGCTCGCCACTGACCGCGGGAGAAGGAGAGAAAGGGAGACAGGAAGGTGAAGGACTCTGGCTGGAAGAGAACCTGGCTCATGGAGGACAGATGGAGGGACTGGACTGCTAAAGTGCCCATGGGGTAAAAACCAAGTACAATTCCTGTCAAGGATCTGGGTCCCTGCCTCACTAAGTACCATGTCCCAAGGCCAAGACGGGTAGGAAGATGGGCTGGAAAGACAGGCAATCTGAGAGCAGGGACAGAGAAAAGCAGGCAGAGGTGTTGTGGGAGAGACTGCTACGTGTGAATGTGGGTGGGGTTGACAGCTCAGGGAGAGGAAAGGACAGCAAATGAGGGGTGAGGGGGAACCATACATCCTGGTTTGCCTGGGACAGCTTATCTAGACCTAAACTTGTCTTGGTATGGTTAGTCAATGTGTCATTTCAATCTCAAAAGAATCAGCTGGGACAACAAATTAGTCACCTGGGCATGAGGGGTCTTCCAGAACGTAAGAGCTGCATTGTGGCTGGGACAGGCTGGCCCCGATTGTGAAGATCGTGAATGCCTAGATTAGAGCCTGGGCCATGCCTCATAGGCATGAGCAGCTCCTTATGCCCCTTTTCTCTTGTGGGGGTAGCTAAAAATCAAGCTAGGAAGGCCATTTTCAGGGCTGGCAGTGTTGCTATATCCTGCTGAACTCAGGTCCCTGGTATATGCAGGAGGTTGGACAGCTAGAGGGCTCTATTCTGAGGCCTTATGGTTCCAGAGGGCTTATGGTTCACTGGGGAACTACAGAGGGTAAAGTAGCCCATGTTGGCTCTAGGGCAAAAGATAATTTGGGGTCCCCACTGCTCTTAGAGCAGGCCCAGCCTCTGTCTCCTGGCCCCAGGAGATGGAGCCTTAATGATGGCTCCTTAGTGATGGAGTGGCTTAAGTCTGTCATGTTCTGGCAACCTCTGTTGCTAACCATTTGGAACAAAATATGGGAAGAAGCTATTTAGATCCCTAGTCATGCTCACAATGTGCAGTGGAGCAGAGTCCAGCTCTGGTTCAGTTTCTTTGCTTGGGGAGATTGAGGCTGTGCAAGCCAGGCCTGGACACTGGAGTTCTTATAGGATACCTCTCCTGTGTTACAAGCAGAATGAGAGAAAAGGGGAAAGACAGAGAATGGAACAAAGTGGAGAGGGAGAAAAGGAAGGAGTTAGATGAGACAAGAGAGGTTGAGCTACACAAAACTAGAGCAGTGAGGAGAAAGGCATAGATGGAGACGCAGAGGGAGTCACGACTCCATAAGAAACAAGGGGCTGGGGATTTAGCTCAGCGGCATAAGCGCCTGCCTTGCAATCAGGCAGTCGTGGGTTCGATCCCCGGTACCGATAAAAAAGGAAAAAGACAAAAACAAAACAAAACAAAACAAAAAAACAAAAAAACCCCCCAAACAATGGCAAGCCTGGAGCTGGGGATGGAACTCAGTGACAAAGTACCCGCTGGTATTTGGAAGACTCTGGGTTTGATCTCCAGTACCACAAGAAAAAAAGGTTTTGCTTTTGTTTTAAAGAAGAAACAGGGCTGGGTATGGTAGCACATGCCTAAAATCCTAGTACTTGGGAGGCTGAAGCAGAAGGATCGTTGCACGTTCAAGACCAGTATGAGCTACAAAGTGAGTCCCAGGCCAGCCTAAACTGCATAGCAAGACCCTGCTTCAAAAAAAAAAAAAAAAAAAAAGTAAGTAAATCAATACATAAAATAAAAATAAAAAATAAAAGAAGAAACAGTGATAAGCCTGGGGCAGCATGAGGAAAGACAGGTCTGACTGTACACTGATGGGTGGGGGCCAAGGGGCACCTAGGTTGAGCAGATGGTGCTACTGGGTGGAGGATAGGCTGTGGTGTCCTTCATACAGAAGTGCAGGGGACAACTGAGCCCTGTGGCCAGGCTGGGGACTGGGCCCCATCTGTTCTCCCACTAACTGGATGCAGAACGATCCAATACTTGGAGGGCCACAAGGGCAATCCCTGTCTTCAGTGGCCTCCCTGGAGCCTGGGCTGCAGTGTACTTCCTGCCAAGGACATGAGGCTAGAAGATAGTGTGCTTGATCCTTTGGCCCAGCTCCCTTTGAAACAGCTCAGGACCAGAAGGGGGCACCTGAAGTGGCTGCCATGGAACTCCACTGGCTGGAGCTGTGGCACTGGCTCCTTGGGATGGGAGGGACTTAGGGATCCCATTCCGGGGATGTTTTTGGGTGGGTGTGTTCACTGAGGCTCCAGAAGGAGCCCTTAACCTGCCCCTGCCCCAGGAATGCAGGCAGTACACACCCTTTGCCGCCACTTCTGACCCCTCAGCTCTGGGCATGCTGAGAGGGAGAACACAGTCACTTTCTAGACAAAAGGAATTTTGTTTCAGGAGGTTGAGCCCAGAAAGAGGCCTGAAGGCTCCAGTGTTATGTAGGTGCTCTTGCCCCTAAGCCCATAGGTAATAGGGTACATGCTTATACTTCTGCTCCCAACCCAGGGAGGGTAAAGAAGCTAGACAGTGAGGGAACTTAGGCTCCTTCTCTTGGGATTGTTCAACATTGGCCCCTGAAGATCCCCAGGTCTGCTTCTAGCTGGAGAGACTTGAGAGTAAACCACACCAGGTGCTCTGACTCTTGAGTAGAATATTTTGGAAGGAAGCTTACAAGACCAATTGTAGCCCTTTCTTGAAAGTCTGGAAACTTGCCTTATCCAAGTTCAGTCACCCACTTACTGTGCCATTCTGGCCATTCTATAACCTGTAAGTGCTTATCTGAATAACAAGCCATGGATCAGAATATCCCAGGGATTTCACCCAAGCTCATCAGCTGAACAAACCACTACCCTCAGGGAAGACAGAAGCTCACAGTGGAAAGTATGAGGCTGGCTGGCAGGCCCTTCCTGGCAAGAGGTCCTGAGCAGAATCTTTAGCTTGGCTATTCAGAGTTCGGCACCAGGCCATGGGCCTAAGGCTGAAGAGGATAAAGATACACAGTCCCATTGTGTTCCTGGCTATAGCAGATGCCACTGCTTAGCATAGCACTACCTGGGAGAAAAGCACATTGCACAGAGCCAGTCCAGTTTCTTCAGTGAACATGCTTCCTACAAACCATGAAGCTGGGGCATGGAGAGCATGGTATGGAGCCAGGGGTCTGTGGAGACAGAACCCTGCAGCTGAGACTCCCAACAGGTCTGCTACCAAAACAGATGGGGCTGACAAGGCTTGAGCTAGCCCAAGTCGGGTAATCCAGAAAGGAAAGAAAACATCCCTAGAACCTGGCTCTCGTCTGCAGATCCTAGTGCCTCTGCCCCCAGCAGAGCAGGGCATTTCTGGTATCAATATGAGAAAAGACAGCCACAGAACCTCTGAAGGCAGGGAGGGGATCCAAAGTAGAAGCAGTGCACACCGCTCTCTGAACACTGTCCCACCCACAACCACACCACAGCACACCTGAGCCTCGGCCAGCATGACGTCTTGGATGACGGGTGGGCCTCGGGGTTCACCATTCTCTAACCGAACATAGGTGACTTGGTAGCCGCGGATCTGACCGTGTTGCTTGCTGGGGACAGGCAGCTTCCAGGAGACATGCACAGCAGTGGAGTTCAGTGGTTCCACCTCCACCTTCCTCGGTGGCCCACTGGGCACTGGGGGCCAGGTAGAGAAGGAAGTCAGGCCTGATGGTATGGATCCTGGCACCACTGAGCACAGCAAACTTCAAGGCCTTGCCACTGTACCCCACTGTATCCCAGGGAAGGCCTTGTGGCCAAGTAAGGAGCCTACTGCCTGCCTGCTGCAGGAAGGAGCCCTGCCAACTCTTATGGCAGGCCGAGCTCCTTGGTGAGGGCAGACCCAGAGCACTAGGTTGGGGCAAGCCCTATCCTAACTCTTCTGGGTCCTATGTACCAATGTTCAGCCACAACGTAGAGACTGGAGAATTTTCTGTACGTTAGTCTTCCTACTTTGACCTTTCAAATTTTAGGTAGGGTTGTTCCTGCTTTTTAAAAATTCAGCTGTTCTGGAAACGGCCCAAAGGCTGTGGCTTTTGCATAGGTGCTGCCCCATTAACTACATCTCCCCAGCAAGGGGAGCCTGTGTTGCAAGACAAGCCTGCCTGGGGTAATGGAGGAAAGGCCTGGTGCTTGCTGAGAGGTGTCTAGGGCAGCCTGCTTTGCCTCCCTGCCCCTCCACACGCCACGGCTGCCTACCGTCCTCGTCAGTGCGCACCAGCACCGGGCTGCTCTCGGGGCCGGGCCCCACATCTGTGTGTGCCCGCACCCACACCCGGTACTCGGTCCACTTCTCCAGGCCCACCAGGTCCCAGCTGGAGTGCTCACGGCTGATGCCATCCACCACATGCCGCCTGCGGTCCTCGCCGTCCACCGCCTCATAGGCCACGGAGTACTGGGTGATGATGCCGTTGCGGCTGTCGGCCGGCGGCGGGACCCAACTTACCCGGACCGTGGTGGAGCCCGTGCTCACACATGTCACCTTCTGGGGAGGGGCGGAGGGGGCTGGGGAAGACAAATGGGGGGAAAGCAGGCAGATGGAGGGTGGGGATCACAGGCATGGCAACCTAGTCATAGTGGACTGGAGACTCAGGTAGTCTTCCCCATGGGCTGAAGCCTCTGTACCTACTGGCATGCTGTCACCACAACCACCCAACAGCCTCACTCCCATGAACTACAGGTTCTCTCTTACACACGCATGCACACAGGCACACACATATGCATGGAGTTTAATAGCGTCTCTGCCATATACATACTGCCTTGCACAAAGCATACAGTTCTTAGATATACACAAATCACAATGTTCTGAGGACAAGGTCTCTGCCCCTGAGCCTAGGCAGGCCTGGACACAGGGGGCTAGACATAAAGGTGCCCCGCGGTGCCTAAGGTTTGAGGAGAATGCACCTAATGGAGGGTACAGACCTCTTGGAAGTCATGGGGCAGATGTGTGCTCTCCTTTGTGGCTAGTGACATTTCCAGACTCCATGCTCAGGGAGGACATGGCTGCTAATGCAGGGGTTCCCCTCCACTCAAGTTCTGCCACCACTCCCTGGCTGGGTGACCTCAGCACACACCTGGACTCACCAGCCCCAGAATTCCTCATCTCCAGGGCTTGCTCCTCTCTGCATGCCTGTGGTCATACCTTGTACAGTGTCACTGATGGGAATGATGCAACCTCCTACCTTTCCCTCCAGATCCTTATCTCTTGTTAGAGTTCAGCTACTACAGGACTCCAGAACTACTACTTTTCAGTCCTTGAGATAATCATCCATCCACTCTGGTCCTTACTGTCCTTAATATTCAACCTCAACTCAGATGTCTAGCGGCTCCTCATTCTCGTCAACATCCCAAAGTCTCACCACCTTATCTTTTCATTTCTGCCTGGCCTACACCAAGCAGCGAGTCTAATTATCTGCCTCCTCCAAGGTGGCACTGGGGAGGGTAGGAAAAGCTGCCTCCCCAGGGAGGCTATCTCTCAGGATCCCTTCATGGGGCCTCCATTCCACCTGCCAGGGTCCACTTACCACAAATCTCCATCTGCCACTTGTCAAGGGACAAACTTGGTCACTTCTATACTCCCTAAACCTCCAGCTCCCTAGGACCCCCAGCACACAACCCTGTCTCCTGCTTGGTATAGAAAACCAAGTCTCGCTGGCAGCTTCTCTATCTCTTGTCACCTGCCTACTTTCATCTGTACAAATTCTCTCCCCAAAATGGTGAGTCCTGCTGCCCTGCTTGGAATAAGCTCTCTCCTTCTCCCACCCCCATCTCCTGGGCTGTCCCCAGTTCTTTTTTTCATGCTTTGTACTTTGTCCTACTGACTCTCTACAATAGCACTTAAGTATGCTCACCATTTTCCCATCTTAAAAGAAAACTGTCTTCAGTACTACAGCTCCCCTCCAGCTACAGTAGTGGTCCATTCTGAGCCGAGTGGACAATTCTGAGCTTGTTGTCTTCCTTTATCACCTCCTGCACAGCCCACCATGCTGCCATGACTCCTGCCCCAGGCCCACTCTTCACCATTAGGTCTAGTGGGAGGGCCCATGTACCCTTGCTTCTGGACTCCACCTCTTGTTTGCCTCTCAAAATTTCCTCTCCCTCCACACTCGCAGATACTCTCCCTTCTCCTGGATTTCCTCTGTCTCCAATCTTTTTTTGAGCTCTTCCCCCTGCCCAGGGCCTGCCACACACTCACACTTAGCATAAAATATCTTGAACCTGGGTATCCGCTCTTTACACCTGCTGCCACCCTTTCCAGTCCTCAGGGCAGCACTCATCTCCAGGCCTCACACACCAGGAACAAGATGCACTTTCGATACTTTCTTTTCAGAACCTGTTTCCCACTCCATTCCCAAGTCCCAAATCTACCACCTCACCTGTGACATTGTCCTTTGCCTAGATAGCTACAAAGCTTTCTAGTCTTCTGCAACCTCTTTGCTGCCCTGTTCATTCTCAGAGATTAGTCAGAGCCAGCTCTCTGATTGCTGCAGCTATTCCAGCCAGGCTGGCCTGCTGCTTGCCCCTGAGCACAGGCCTCCCATCCTCTCGAGGAGCAGGTGCATGTCCCAGCCTCTGTGCCTCATGGACCTGTTCCCTTATCCTGCTGACTCCTACCCTTACTTTGGGCCTCAGGGAAGCGTCATTTCCCCAGGGCAGATCTCTTTGACTCCTGACTAGAGGAGGCTCATTGATCTCCATCCCACTCCAAATAAATCTAATTACAAACTCATCTGGGTAATCATAGGTGTCCTCTGTCTGCCCTGCCTGACCAAGGTGCTGATGGGCAGCAGCCATGACATCTGGTAATGCTGCTACCCCTGTACTGTACCCATCAGGAGCATGGCAGGTGCTTCTAGAATGAACTCATGCACATAAGGTCACAGGCAGCCTCCGGATTATCAGGAGTCCAGGCCAGCAGTCCCACATCACACTGTCTTCACAGACACTGCCATGTTTAGGCCATCATCACCTGGGGTCACCAGCCACAGTCACACCCATGACCACATTATCAAACAGTTTCACAACAGTGGCCTATGTGGTTATTTGACCACAAATAGGTCACCCAGCATCACACACAATCTGTCACCTGCCGAGCTACAATGATTCACAGTCACAGAGTCACCAATAGAGATGGGCAGCCACACCAAGATACATGGACATACATGGGCGCTACATGGACTAGTGGTCAGGTGCTCACAGGAGGCATCACACACACAGCTACAGATCTCACACATACAATATAGCAGCTGACATCACCCAGTGGGTCATATAAATGATGTGCTTCCACACACAGGGAAGAGACATACTCCAGCACACAAGTCACATTCCCACAGTCCTGTCCTTGAGTTTACAGCTCACATGTAATTTCATGGTGGTGGCATGAAGGAGGGGATGTGGGTAATGAGGGAGATGAGATGCAGGGCCATGGGGAAGGAAGACAGCCGCTGAAGCAGGTCTGGGACATGGCAGGCCCACCAAGTCACTGTGTGACCCAGTGTAAGGGGGATGGAGGACAGAGATGAGCCACAGACACAACTTACCTGGGCAGAGGGTGGGGGCTGGGGGCTGGGCAGGGATTGGGGAGAGCAGATGCCGCCTGGACAGACTAGGGAGCACTTACCTGTCCCTTTCTCAGGGTCCAGACTCAAGAGGCCAAACCAGAGGCCAATGTGGGACCCGGTAGACCTGACCACCAGCCTAACTGAAGGGGAAGGTGCATATCCCAGCCTAGGGGTGACAGACAGTGGCCTGAGGAGACACTTACTAGACTGTGCTGTGCGGGCCTCTATGGTGGGTGTGAAGACACCCACCCCCATGTCAGAGCGGGCAGCCAGCTGGAAGTGGTACAGTGTGTCAGGCTTCAGGTCCTCCAGGGTGTAGGAGGAGGTGGGGTCGAAGGTCACCTTGCGCTGGAAAAGCAGAAAGCACTCACTGACTACTCAGACCTCAAAGGCCACTTCAGAAACTATTCCCCACACAGGCTGTGGCTTGCCTTGAGGACTCAGCGTGGCTCTAGGATACACTCCCCACAAGGTCACAGGGACTTCATGAGCAACATGTGAACCAGGTCACAGCCCAAATGCTCCACAGACCACATGGGTCAAGAAGCTACTAGCCACACATGGCCCCAGGGAAACTTCAGGGTTGTACCAGCATCGAGTGAACCACAACAGACGCCAGGAACTCTGCCCTCAGCATTGGGAGGTAGAGGCAAAGACTACAGAACCATAAGGACCACGTGGGCCACAAAACTGATGAAAAACCCTAGAGGGCTGAGGTCACATGAACCACAGAATCCACAAAAGCTTGCTTGGGTGAGACCATCACAGACCCTCTGGGACCATGAGGACCCAGTCTATCCTTCACCCTCCCCAGGACATGGCTCACCTGCTGCCCTTCCTCCTCTGCTGCCCAGTATACCAGCTCATACTTGATGATTCGCTCCTGTGGTGGCAGTAGCCATGACAGCTGGATCCTGGTGTCTGATTCAGCCTCGGCCTGGAAGTCTGCAGGCTGTGCGGGAACTGCAACACCCATACCAGGCACTGTCGGCACCCACACATCCGAAGGCCAGGGCTGCCCAGGACAAAGAGGTGCCACTCTCCCACCCTTGTCCTATATCCACTGTTTCCATGCAGCTATGGAATACAGCATCTTCATTCTCCCTGAGCTCCCAAGTTCTGGGCCTGAGAGAGGAGGGGGCCTCCACCATAAATTCTGCTGCTGGCTGTTCCCCACAGACATGGGCCCACCTACCTCCCTGCTGCGTCTTGACCTGGATGGTGGGGCTGGGTGGGCCATCACCCACGGCAGTGAAGGCAAGCACGCGAAGGCTGTAAGTGATGCCAGGCAGCAGGCTGCCCACGGTGGTGAGAAGCCCCGCGTCAGTGTTGTGCTTGTGCCAGGCACTCAGAGGGCGACGGGAATCTGGGGTGTAATAGACACGATAGCCCCGCACCATGCCATTGGGCTCCTCGGGAGGCTCCCACTGCACCAGCATGGTGCTGGCACTCAACATGCGGGCTTGTACACGGCGTGGAGGGCTGGAGGGCGCCTGCTCCCCAGTGCGTGCCCGTACTGCCTCACTGGGTGGCCCTCGCCCAATGCTGTTTACTGCCAGCACACGAAAGACGTATTCCGAGAAAGGGCTGAGTCCGCCAATGCTGTAGCGTGTGGTGGCCACACCATCCACTTCCTGGAAGGGGCCCTCTGTGCCAGCTGCGCGGTACTGGATGCCATAGTAGGATATAGGTTCTGAGTTTCCAGAGTCCCAGGTCAGGGTGACGCTGGTAGCAGTTGTCTCTGTCACTATAAGGTCAATTGGTGGCTTCGGAAGAGCTGTGGACAAAGTGGAAGACTCAGGGACAGCCGAGGTCAGGACCCTAAGGACCAATCTTAGCAAGAGAACCTGGTTTGGCTGCCAGAGTAAGGCTGACACCACAGCCCACTCTGAAGAATGGCTTGAAAGGTTTCCAGAGGGGATGTGGCTTACAAGCTCCTGTGCAGAGGGAAAGGGCCCAGACCTGGTGGCAGAGATTTGCCTCTGAAGCTCAATCTTGCCCACTGTGTAGCAAGTTTGGGCAATGGGCAAGAAGGGAAGCTATTTCCTAAGGCACTGGTTCCGGGGTTCATATTGAAGGCAAAGAAGCCCCCGTATTCACATTCAGTCAGTAACTACACATTCAGTCAGTGACAGGTACTGATTGTACCAGGGCCACAATATCACCTGTTTACATCCCCTGCTTTCATGGAGCTTATCATCCACTGAGAGAAACAACAAATGAGCTGGCGATAATCACGTGCAATGACAGCAGGAAGCTACGTCTGAGACCCAGAAAAATCCATGGAATCTTCTCAGATGGGGTTACAGGGAGGGAAAGCCTTACAGGGCCTAAGGAGAAGATGGAGCCAGCAACAGAAGGGCTGGGGGTAGGGGAGCAAAGTAAGCTGAGCCGCGTGTGTCATCACACAGCGTCAACGGACACACAGGTCAGTGCTCAGCAGCCCAGGGAGACCACAGTGAAAACCCCCATCTGTATCTTAAGAGCAAAAGGAGCAATGAAAGCTTTGTTGACCTCTCTCAAAAGGGACTAGCTCAGTGTGGTGGTGCATGCCTGTAAACTTAGCATTCCGGAGGCTGAGGCAGGAAGATCACTGTGAGTTCAAGGCCACTGTGCGTTATGTAGTGAGTTCAAAGCCAGCCTGAACTGCACAGCGAGACGCTTTCTCAAAAAAACCAACAACAACAACAACAACAAGAATTGACCACTCAAAATCTGAGGACGGTGGTATGTCTGCAGTCCCAGCTACTAGGAAGGCTCAGGCAGGAGGATCACAAATGTGAGGTTAACCTGGACAACTTAATGAGATTCTGTTTCAAAATTTTAAAAAAGGACTTAGAATATAGCTCAGTTTGCCTTGGGTCCGACCTTCAGTATTACAAAACACTTACATGTGCAGAATAGAAGATGACCAGAGGCAGAACAAATGGAAGCAAGGAAACCAGGAAGGAGTCCATTCCGTGTGTATTAGATATGTCTACATGCGTATGTTTATTGCCAGGGTTCTCTGCCACTTGCCTCCATGGCTATATTCTTCTCTTTTTATTTTTTATTTATTGTCTTTTTCATTTTTATTGGTACCGGGGATCAAACTCACGACCGCCTGCTTGCAAGGCAGGTACTTATGCCGCTGAGCTAAATCCCCAGCCCCTATTCTTCTTTTTAAAAAATGTGGTACTGGGGACTGATGCCAGGGTCATTACACTGAGCTACATCCACCAGTGCTTTTTCCTTTTGAGACAGGGACTGGCTAAGTTGCCCAAACTGAGCTCAAACTCACTCCTCCTGCTTCAGCCTCCCGGAATGTTGGTATTACCAGTGGCTCACCACATTCTTACTGGGAGGCTTCAATCCAAAGATCTGGTTTTATGTAGTGGTTATGGGTATGGGCTGTGGACTCAAGTCCCTGCTTTGTCATTTACTTCTATTCCTGGGCTAATGACATCAACTCTCTTCTGTCTTGATTCCTTCATTTATAAAACAGGGATAGAAAAATCACCTATCTCCCAGAGTAACACTAAAATAAAACAAAATAAATTGTGCTTACTAGCATGATATCTGCTATCTACAAGCTCAATACATAGCTCTCTCCAAGGCTGTCAGAGACAGAAAACTTTGCCTCCTTTAAGGGTCTGGGGGACCCCGGAGGCCTAATGATCCCTCAGCTCCACTTGTACCACAGCACTCAGTTTATTCACACTTGCCACAGGCACTAGAATCTCCTAGAGTTCCTGTACTAGGCCAGGGCATCAGCCACAGCAGCTACTTGTCTCACTTACCTTTCACTGTAACTTGAGCTGTGGCCTCAATCATGCCCAGCGAGGAGATGGCCACACAGGTGTAGTTGGCGGAGCGCATGACATTGTTGAGCTCCAGTACATTGCGGCCAACTGGCATCTCATCCTCCTTGGTGAGCTCCTCAGCTCCCATCATCCACTTCACATAGGGCATGGGTGCACCCACTGCGACACATGTCAGATTCACACTGCCACCTGGCATCACCTCCTGGCTGCTGGGAGGGATGGAGAAACGAGGAGCCACACGGCGCACTGTGAAAGGAGGGAGAGAGGTACTCACAGGCCAGGCAGGTCACGAGGGTAGACAGAAGGGCAGGGGCCCCTCATTCAAGAAGTCCCCCCGTCAGAGCCCAGCCCAGGCTTGGAAATAGGAGGGGTGGCATCCCCAGGCCATGGATCATCATCTCCCACCCTATTTTGGGCTAGAAGCAGCCCCTGCATTCAGCTCTCACATCCAAGCTCCCATTTTACATCCTAGGTAAATGAGGCCCAGAAAGGACCATGGATATATATGGACATAATGTAAGATCCAGGCCTGGTCAGGACAACTCAAGCTACCCTCCAGTGACAGCCCCTGCTTGCCCCTGTCCTAACTCCCCATGTGTCTCCAGAGGGGCTCACTGGAGTGCCTAGGGCAAGGGTCCTCAGAACATGGCTGGGGTGGGCAGCAGGTCAGTCTAGGAGTGACAGAGCCACCTTCTCTGGGGTCACTGCATCAACCTCCATGGCCCAAAGGAAGAAAAGAGGAAGTGGCATAATCACCTGCTGGGCTTCAGCCATGCTCAGGGGACAACTTGATGACCTAGGGTAGAGGCTGCCTCTTAGGAGGGCTGGGCCAGGGCTAGGACCAGGGCCAGGGTTGAAGTGGGCCAGGGATGTGGTCCACGGGCAGGATGGGCATGATGATGGCAGTAACATGATGAGGATGCCGAACAGATGGCTTTCTGTGTCAGCGAACAGGGTCTCAAGGGGAAGAGTGGCTGTGCTTCGCCACAACCTCCAGCCTTGGACTCCCCTGACCAGAAGCTGTTCTGAACTTCTCACTCCAAGGTGCAACTTAAAACTACCCCATGAGGTTGCAAGCTTGGTACGGACATTCACCAGAGCATGCCAAGTGGGAAGCCACATACAGCCATGCAGGCATGCAGATCAATCATGTGGTGGTGGACAGAGGCTTGGGTATGTCCTACATGAGCATCCTTATGCACTGGAGAAGACAGGGAGCAAGGCTAAGTGACCCACTGACACCACTGACAGTACTGGTTTCTAAGCCCCGGCATGCAGAGCACTTGTGGTACCACATCAGGAGTACCTCATGCAGTCGCAGATTACACAGAGCTGGAAACAACTAGAACAACCACCGGCTCAGGGATCAAACTAGTGCCCAGAGGCTCAGCAAGTCATCTGGGCCTCTCAGTGCTGTATCTTTTAAGTCTCTATTTCTCTACAAATACATGGGTGATGGCCATCACCATCACTCCCTGAGTACCTGTAGGGAGGTACTTCATTGGTCTTCCTTATTCTGCCCACTCCCCTAGCTCTCTATATACATCACAGACTCGTCTTTCCCCCGTCTAGCAAGCTACTGCATGGTTCCCCAGTGTTTCTCTACTGCCTACAAAGCTTTGCCGAGCACTGCTTCCAGTTCCTTCCACAGCGTGCCACACTGTGAGCCTCCAGAAACAGTCACACCAGCAGTCCTTTGAGCGAGCCATGATGACTGACTCAGTACCTCTGAGCTCACAGGGAGAGCAGTGTCTTGCGGATGTCCAGAGTTCTGCTTTCTTCCAGAACCACTCCCTTTTCTCTTCTATTCTTTGGCTAGGCATCAAATCCAGGGCCTTACACATGCTAAGCAAGTGCTTTACTGCTGAGCTACAGCCCAAGACCTATCCTCATTTTCTTTACAAAGAGCACTTTTCCTCCATTTTCAGGACATGGGGTTTGTGGCCCAGACCTGGCTAACAAGAACCAATCTTTGGCCATTTTTTTTGGATTTTGGTATGTTTTTTATTCTTTTAGAATTTTGTATACTGACACAGAAGTAAAAGAAAATGACTGAAACTTAAATGTAAAAACTTTTAAAAATTCAATCCATAATTTTACATGTTCACTTTACTTACATGTCAGTGAAAAATCACCAACTACTGTGAAGGCAGGACATCACAAACTTTTTCATCACAAATGAACCAAAAAATAGAAAGTATTTCAAAAAAATATACTCCAAATGTGAAGAGAACTGCTTCCTTGGTGTCTTCACATCCTTCTCTTCTGTGTACTTATGTATAATACATTGTTTCCTCAGATACACGCATTCCCATACTTATTCTTGAGTTGTCCGTTTACATACTTTTCGGTCTGCTCTAGGGCTATATTCATATAGCCATCCAGGCAAGCCAGGACCCCTCGATAATCCACTCCAGAATTTAATTTGACCACAACTGGCCTTCCGATGATTTGCTTTAAGAAGTCACTAGGAGTTTGCTTCCGCAGACTCATTTTAACTAACTTGGAAGGCAGGAAACCTGAGTTCTAATTCCAGCTCTGTTACTTAATTAGTTGTGTGACTTGAGTAACTCATCCTTTCACCTCTCACGGCCCCAGGTTTCTCATCTAGCGGCCTGGACCCAGAACCCTACTCCAGGCAGCTCCCGAAGCCAGCCTCCGCGGACGCTCACAGCGAAAGCCGAAACCCAAATCTTTGGCCATTTGTACAAACTATCAGAAAAGTAAATTACTCTTACTATGGGGTAGCCAAGCTTAGAAAGGCTGGGACAACCTCTCCCAACGCATAGGAGAACCTGCTCAAGAACAAAGAAGTCACCAGCAGAAAGCACAGCTTGCAAACAAAGACAGACGAAGCCTGATGAAATTGTTTAAATACCTGGTTCTGGCCCTACTCCCCACATCAAATCTATTTCTACAGTTTTTAGTTTTGTAACATGTTCTGCTATGAGACACTTGTTCTGCTATGCCATTGTAAGTGGGTTGCTGTCATCTGGCCTAATGCTGAGAGTCCACACTGACGGTAACAGCATGCCATAGACACAGCAGCTCTCACTGCAGAGAATAGATGGAGCTTAACTGGCAAGTATCCAGTAGCAACAAACAGTCCCCTTCTAGCACCCTTTTAACCTAGTAAAAGGTAAAGCCAGCAAGTACCACAGCTGTCACCACACTGGGGTGCAGGCGCTCCTTTGGCTCCAGCACTGGACTACAAGGCAGGTGCTGGGAGGTGAGGCACAGGTGGATAGGGTCCCAGCACAGCACAGCAGCCACTACTGGCCAGTTCTCTGTCCTCCCAACTAGTGGCTGCCCCATTTCCTCTTGGCCAAGGGGCATGAGAAGAGGTTCAAGGGGAAGCCACTCTTGAGGATTACTATGCGGGAAGGTTCTCACACCATCATCTCCTAATTACAGATATGGGAACAAACTTAACACTAACATAGGAAGTGGTATGCCCATTTTCCTATTCATAGTATTAGTAGATCTATGTTGTCAAAAACGTACCCATCAGAGCCCTGGTGATAAAACAGACCCAAGAGGCTACAGGGAGAAGCTAAGACTGGGAGAAGATGCAGCTCCAGCTGGTACATGGAAGGGACTTTAGCAGCCTGTGCCCAGGGAGACATCATAACTCTAGCCAATGGAAGAATCCTGAGGCTACATCAGGTCCCTAGATGCCAGAACCAACAGCCCAATGAAGGAAATAGGCTCTTGCCTAATAAACCTTAGGGTCAAAGCTAAGCAGCTCAGAAATGTGACTGCACTTTACCTCCAGAGAGCTGCTGGACGACAGGATTCTCAGGCTCCATTATAGACCTTATGAATCTGCCCTGGAGATCACCCCAATCTCCTGAGCCACTTCTTTAAAAGCATCTGATTCTAGGCAGTGTCAGTAAATTGAGGCCCTGAGGGAACTGACAATAAGAATGGTTTTGCTTTTACATTTCCCTCCTGGATGGTGGTACAGAGGATTCCAGAGGCTGGGGCTCAATGTCAGGTCAGATACGACCTTTAAGGTCATCCTACCACAAAAGGATCTCAGCCTCAGAGATCCCCAGATGTAGCACCTTCATCTTTCACAAGGACACAGAGCTCCGGACATAAGACAAAAAATCCTGGAGTGCAGTTTCCTGCATCTCATACTCATCTTTCCCGTGGGCCGGGGAGGTTAGCATGTATATAGAGAAAAGGTAGGGGAAAAACAGGCGAGAGACAAGCTTCTAGTATTCCCAGTGTGATGGGGCCTCACTACAACAGCCAGGACTGACGGGTACCTCACTGCAGTAGCCCCACCACCTTCTCCTGCTGTCATAAATGCAAGGCCTCCAAAAGGAGCAGGACTCACTCTGGACTCAACCAACAGCAAGGAAGTAAAAACTGGGGCTGGGAAAAATGCACTTAAAGTGTAATCTCAGGCTCCAACAATGCCGGTCTATTACCGTTCCCTGTGCATCCTTAGTGCTGACATTTTATAGACAATTTCCCAAACAGGGCCCTGCCATTTCTGGATTATATTTCAGCTGTAACTTTTAAGTCTAATTATTTGCGCTGACAACCCCCTATAATAGGGCAGTGCAGCGCCCAGAGGCATCAGCATTCAGAAGAGTGACAGCCTAATCACAGGGGGAGGCAGCCCCGCAATCTGCATTCACTCTCGGAAATTTCTCTGATGAAAATAACACAACATTAAGGAGGGGATAAGGGGTAGGATCCACTGTATCAAGATAAAATAACTCTTTAATAAATAACCTTGTGGCTGCTGCAGAGCAGTAATTAAATGCTGGCGCACCCAGTACACAGTTTTAAGTAAAGCTGGAAAAATGTAAGATGCAATTATCAGCGCCAAACAAATTACCAGCCCAGAAAATCCCCCTGGAATATTTAGAAACTCATTTCTCCTTCCCGTTAAATATTTGTGCATGTGCTTATTTCTGGTGGGACCATATAGGGTGGGGGTGGAGTGGGGTAAGGGAAGGGACAAAAGATCCAGAGGATGCATGAAGGGAAATAGGGGGAGTGGTTAAGGGTTGGGCTGTCTGCTGATGACTGTTTTCTGAACACCCAGGCAGATCTCCCTGGTCAGCAAAATGGTGTAACCAAAATGCCCCAGAGCTCAGAAGTGCATATGGATGGATGCTTGGGGCTGATATCTGAGCCCTGTCTGCAGCCCTCCTTTCCAAGGCGCCCTCTCTCCCACAGAGGAAACTCAAGCCACAGCACATGACGCAGAGGGGACCAGGTGGCTTGGGTCTATTCCCTGTGGCTCAGGTTGTCCTCTACTTCAGCTTTGAACCCTCAAAGCCCAGTAGCAGGACAGTCTCCTCTGATACCTCACATCATGTGACACAGAATGATAGCCAGCCCAGCACTAGGGTGGGCGGCTGAAAACTGAGCTCCAACCTGATGGCTCTGGACCTGGCTTGGGTTAACTCCAGGAGGCCCTCCTAGCTGAGGCTGAGCCAGGAGCCACTTTGAGGCTCCCACACATCCTCGTTAGGCTGTGCTGACTGCTAGGTCACCCCAGGTTTAGGTAACTTGGGTTTGAACTCTCAGTGTCAGCACCAATCTGAGGACACTCCACCTGCAGATAGACCTGGGGCAAGAGGCTCAGGCAGAGAGGCCTGAGCCGGTGGGATGATACGAATTTGGATTTGGGAAAAGACAACAGTGGAGGAACTTGCAAGGAGCCAAGAAGATGCCACTCACCCTGAGGCATGGACACAAAACTCCCCAGGGCCGACCAGGACTGGTTTTGACTTTACACTGGCCCTCCTTGGCCTGCCTCCTCAAGCCTCAGGGAGGGTTCCAGAGAGTTTGAGGATAACATAGACACTGCAGAACTTCTTTTTCCGTCCCAAAGACTTAGGACTTATGAAGGACGCAGTGGACAGAGCAAGGGCATGCATGCACTGGGGATATAAAGGAACAGCCTACACTGTATGAGCTTCTTCCCTTTGTTTCCTCATTGTTTGGTTTCATTTAGGCAAGCACAGCCTCCATATAAGTGGAAGATTGTGGAAGGCTCCCCAGGTACATGCCTAGCACTATAGCTCCCATGGCTCCCTCTGAACCTAACACCCCCAACCACTCCTAAGCACCACCCAAGGCAAACAGCTAGTCCGGCCCAGGGACAGAGAGTGGGTAGAGCTTGTGCCATGCAACTTGCCAGCCCTACCACTCCAGCAGGGGAGGCCTGCTAAGGGGACATGCAAGACACATGGTGCATCAGGGAAGCAAGCAGCAGAAGCATGCAGGGCAGAGGGCCTGCCCACCCATCCCAGGTCCTGCCTGCCTGTCAGCTGGCCCAGCAATGACAAGCAGAGGCTGATGAGCGGGCAGGCATAGCTGGAGAGAGCATGAGGGAGTTGACCAAGCCCGCTGGTCCCTACTGACGGGTACATCCCATCGACGGGCGAACTGTAGATGGGTAAGAAGTGAAAAGGACCAACCTTCTCGCTGATCTGATAGATGAGAGTTTGGGTTGATGGCAGAGTGCGATGAGGATGAGGAGGGAATAAAAAAAAGACAAGGAAAAACACAGAGAGAGTAAAAACAGGCCAACCTTCATCTGCCCACACAGCACGGAGACAAGACAAGACTCCTGTGCCCCCTCGCACACACACACGTGCACACCGTGCACATGGATCATGCCACTCACAAAAGACTCAAGACTCATGAAGGACACAGTGGACAGGGCAAGGGCCCTCCGGCATGTGCCAGGGACGCTGAGGGCAGGACCAGGAGAGGTAGAAATGGAGCACAGGCCAGTCTCCATGCCTCACACACACTCCACGGCTCTGACAGGCCCGGTGAACTGGGCTCTGGGGTCAGGGCACACCCACCCAATACACGAGCCACTAGAACCCCGCCACCTTGAGGAAGCCCCCCACTGCATGACATCAGTGCGAGGAACACATTTGGGCACCTATGGGGAAAAAACAGGAGGTGTTGCCTCTGTTTCGGGACACTGTGGCCTGTCAGCCAGGTCACTGAGACAATGGGAAGGCTGATCCCCTGGTGCAGGTAGGCCACGCTCTGTGCAGGGCGGACTACACCCTGCCCTGGACAGCTGCACACCAAGACCTGGAGAAGAAAGTCACTGTGGATGGAAGGAGAATGAGTCACTCGGGAAGGGAGTCAGCTGGTGACAGAGAAAGAGGCTGGTCCACCCAACAAGCCTGGGCCTGCTAGACTGTGGGTGGAGCTGTGGGCAACTGTGAATAAAATCAGACGCAACTAACTGCATGATATATTCCCCACCTCCCCCAGTGCCACCCCAATGGCAGCCAGGGCAGACGACTTCAGGTACTTCCTGTGCCTGGCATTATGCCATGAGTTTTACACACACAGTCCCATACTGTTGCAGCCACAGTCTCGAAAGGCAGTGGAGTCCTAAGAATCTGGGGGACGGGGAAAATATGTGAAGCAAACACTGAACCAAGTCTGAGTGGGAGACAAGTCTGGCAGGCCAATGGATGCAGAGGAAGAGGAGTCAGAGACAGATGGTGACAAAAGCCAGCAGGAAGCTGTCAATTCAGAGCACTGGGTCTCAACTGGGCTGAGTTCCCCCTGGGAGGCATGTTGCAATGTTGGGAGACAATTTGGTGTTGGTTTGACTAGGGAGTGCTACAGGTGTCCAGCTGGCCAGGGACAGTACAAAACCTGGAAGAGAAAAGCATTCCCCTATCCAAATGTTAACAGTGCTGAGGATGTGAAACCAGGCATGGGAGTACACACCAATCAGGACGTGGAAGCTTGGGTCCTAAGAGAGCTTTCCTGCTATGGAAAAAAGCCTCAAAGCCACTGTGCAGGGGCACAGGTGGGGCCAGCAGGCAGGGTGGCACTGGGGACCTTCTCACGGCTGTCCATCTTTGGGGTTCAGAATACAGAGCTCATAGCTAGCATGATGCAGGCTGTCCCAGAGGAGCTGGGGTTGAAGGCAATGGGTTTTTGAGGCACAAGATGAGAAGGAGTAGGGACACCAGGAGCAAGGGTCCCAGGCAGCAGGGCTTTTCAGATGTTCAGAGTATCTGGCAAGACAGGAGGGCTCTCCAGGCCTATTGGGCAGGTTGCTCTTAACAAAGCAGGGCAGACATTAATCCAGATATGGTGTGGACATGGAGCAGGACCTGGGGACAAAGGATTGGGAGTGTTCAGGGGAGGAGGGTGCACATGAGAGAAAAGCAAGAGCCAGGTCGGTGGTTTTAGCATCCCTGGCAAGAGGGATTGAAACTAAAGCAACTCCCACACTCAACAGTCCTGGAGTAGAGCCATGAAGGTGAATTAACACCTGTGGGGTGGGGAGACGGGTCACACCAGGCGCTAGGCAGGGCTCTGCCCGAGCCCCCTGGGTATGGACAGTAGGGCCCCCTAAACAGGGCTGCTCTGAGAGAGTTAAGGCTTCCCAGGTCAGCACTTAAGCTGTCAGCTGAGTCCAGCTCCAAAGAGAACATCACTGCCCCACCTCTGGGGCTGAGGCCAGTGTAACAGTGAGTTCAGAGAATGCAATTCCAATAAGAGGACAACACAGGGCCCATTGGCCTTGGGTCTGGACTGTGTCCTGCCTCAGTATTCCTTCCAGCCGCCCACCACAAGAGACATGCTATATGGCCATCCCCACACAACCTGCAAGAGGCAGGCCCCTTGTCTCTGTGGCCACATGCAGACAGGGCTTCTTTGCTGTGGCCAAGGACCTTCACATTCTTGATTCCAGTCTTTTGGAAATGTACTAGGTAGAAAAGACATACACTCATGATGCTTGGGATAGGAGGCAGCTGGTTTCTGAGAAAAGGTCTTTCTAGCTGCTAATTTTTTTTTTTTTTTTTAAATCAGTCAAGTCTGTCTATCTGGGTCTTGCTATGTAATTTAGGCTAGCTTTGGACTCACTATGTACCCTAGCCTGGCTTCAAACTCAGAGCAATACTCTTGCCTTAGCTTCCCAAGTGCTGGAATTAGATTTGCATTGCCCCACCTGGTTTTCAGCTGCTAATCTCTCAGATGGGGCTCATTAGTCCCCAATGCCTCTGTCAGAAACTTAACCTAGATCAGTGAACAATAAAGGTTGTACTGTTTACAACTCCGTCCCTCTGGGCCATCTGGGAGGTTCTGGGGCTTCTGGCTTCTTTCTCTCTGATGTTGTCAACCCAGCTGAGCCTTGAGGAGCAGGATACCTGTCTCAAAGAGGGCAGTGGAGACTTTTCACCTCGCACCAGCTCCCATGAAGTATCTTCCCTTGTCTCTGAGATAGTTTGCTCATTACAGATCTTCTATAGTTGATGAGTCCCCAAGTGGTCTCTCCAGAATGACCCTGTGCCAGCATGCATTGGACTCTCAAAAAGTATATGCTGGTGCACAGCCTGATTTTCTCTGTCCTCATCAAGCAAGTCTGACCAACGGCCCTTAACAGTAGCAGGCCACTGCCCTCACCCTAGCACTGCACATTGCAGTGACAGTTAGTGACCTCCTTAATATGAAGCTGAACTATGCATTTAGGTGATGAAATTATCACTGCAAAGAGGCTGAATCTCCTTCCTTTCTGAACACTCTGAGTAGGGATGGCTTACTTTTTAATGACATCCACAGGTATAGGAGAACTGAGGGACAGTGGGGGAAGCCAGGGCTTCTAGAGCCCCTTCTGGGCATGATGCACATCAGACCCACTGTGAAAGGGACAAAGAGTGGTCAGTTTTGGTCACCAGTGGGCTAAGAGGCCCCTTCTACTGAGTGAAAAAAAACCACGTGATCCACTTAATCTCAATGAAGAACACCAGAATACACTAGGTGTTCACCCAAGGAATGTACCCACAAGGACACTCAGCCTCACTCCAATACCAGGGCTTGGGCTGGTGATAAAGAGCACAGCAGCCTCCTCCAGAAAGGTCTCAAGGTACAGATTTGCTGGTCCCATGCTTGAGGCCTAACTGCACTAAAGCCCAGAGCCCTGCTGGAATAGATGGGAGGAAAGCAAGGCCAGGTGCGCATGTTTATATACAAAGTCGCACACACACACACACACACACACACACACACACACACACCCCCAGAAACAACTGGAAGGCTCTAGACTTCCACAGGGCTCCAGGACCATGCATCAAGGACCTGCAAGAGATATGAACATTCCCCAGAGGGGCTGTTTCCCCACAAACTTGCAGGGAAGGAAGGCAAGCAGTGGTGGACTCAAGGAGCCTGCCCAGGGGGGCTGCTGCTGCTGCAGAAAGAAGCAGGAAGGAGACAGGGCCCACGGCAGTCCCTTGAGCATCTGCATCAATGGCTCCAGACAGTGTGCCTGGCAGGTGCTGCTCAGCTCCGTGTGACAGAGGCCAGGCACTGCCGAATCCTTACCTCGTACATACAGGTTCGCGGGGGCCGAGTAGCGTGTGCCTGCCGAGTTGGTTGCCACACACTCGTACTTGCCTTGGTCTGACTCCTCACTGCTCTCAATCTGCAAGGCACCTATGGGGACACAAAGGGAGAGGTCAGCCATGGTCTATGTTGAGTGTGGCCTGGAGCATGGGGGGTCTTGACAGCATCTGCAGCTTTTGTGGGATAGATGCTGCAGCTCACATGGGCCACACCCTAGCAACTGTGTTTCTTCTAAGTTCTCCCTGATGAGCCCAATGGCATCCAGGCAGGAGCCAAGGACTGTGCTTCTGAGTATTATCTCCTCTACCCCGCCACCAGGGGCTGCAACCTACCCCCAGCTCCCCTGAGTATCAGTCCTGCTCCCACCAGTCCTGGAGTCTGCTTGCCAGCGATCGTTCTGTCTGTGCTCCTGGCAACAATCCTTCCAGGCAACAATCCTTCCAGGCAACTTGGGAGCCAGGTGTAAGAGAGGCCTACAGTACTGCCAGCCAGCAAGTAGTGTCCTCCTGGGGTAACTGTCTGCCCCCTCCAGGAAGGAAGGGGTGGCCTGGTGGCCTGATGCTCCGGACCCCCCCCCCTCCTCCCACTCCACCCCAAGCACACTGCCAGCCCCACCCATTCCAGCTTCTCTCAGCCTAGTCCTGCTAAAGTGCTTCGACCCACCACGGCTCCTGCATAATTCAAGAGGTTAATGGAGGCTGGAGCTCCTGCTTGGGGCAGCACCCTGAGGGGCTGCTCTGGCCACAGACAGACAGACAGGAGCCAAGATGTGATGGGGGAGGGACAGTTGAAAAGGACCCTTCCAGAAGGTGGTGGAAACTTGGGCTTGGGGGCTGGTCCAGGTGAAGAAGTCAAAGTGGAGGACCATTATGGCAGGTAAAACCACTTGCCTTCACCAGCCCCAGGCCCAGGAATTAACTGAAAAACAAAAAAACACAAAAACCCCAAACCAACAAAACAAAACAAAACATACCAGGCAAGCTATATGTAACAGTAAAACCCATAGGGCATAAGCAACTTGCCCCTCCCCAGAACAATCTGACAGACAATTACACCCACACAGGACAGTCCAATGGACAGTTAACAACCTCCACAGGATGAAATCTGACAGAAACTACTTCCTGCACAGAACAGCCAGACTGACCCTAACAGCCCTTAACTCCTGCCTCAGGGACCTGGCTAATGACTGATGATCACACCCAAACAGGACAGACAGAACCTGCCAGGCCTCACCTAGTAACTAGGCAGGAGCCCCAGAAGAGTTCCACGCCACGTGGCCCCAGCCCAGGCCCAAAGGGAAGAGTACTATGGGCCCAAGCTCTACCCACTTCAGTCTAACATCCTCTTCTGCCACATAGACAGGGCAGTAGGAGAGGCCATGAACACTTAAGGAACTGGAGATGGGGGAAAATGATGATGCCACCTGTGCAGGACAAGGGGCTTGCCTGCCCTCCCTGGTAGTATGAGGGAGGATCAGAGCCCAATACACAGACCAAACACCATCTCCTGAAAGAACAGTCTTGATGAACACCTAGCAAGGCATGTTTATGGGATGGATGGACACTACTACAGAAAATGTTTATTCCAGCAGGTAAGGGTCAGTCCCTGGATGATGAGGGGCCCTGGGGTCAGCTCATCAGGGGTTCAAGGTAAGGCTGGTACCACAGACTGGGAGCAGGAAGTGGTACTCAAGTGCAACCCTGCCCATGGGAGAACGAGAACCTAAAACCGAGACTGGCCAGGAGACCCAACACAGGATCTGTGCGTATCTGCATATAGAAACCCTAAACCTGGTATAACACCGAGATCTAGCAGAAGGGGATGCAGTTAACCTGTACTGAGTGGATGTGCAGGGAGACCCGGAGCAATAAGGCTGGGGGATTCAAAAGATACGGGGTGAAATCCTGTCCTCCAGACGATGGACAAGATGCCACACAGGGACAAAACTGCTTTCCCCTACCCCAACTTCCACCCCGAGCACCCTGGCTTTGAATTCTGAAGGCCTGAATGTGCCCACAAACATTAAGGAATATGTGAGGAGAAAATGGCAGGATAAAAATGGAAGCCTCCATGTTATAGGATATCTGCTGTATGGGAGACACTTCATTCTGTCTTCTTAATTCTCATGGCCTTGTGTGCACCTGGCCTTGTCCTCCACTCAGAGGAAGAAACAGACTTCTGAAAGTTGATCAATTTTTGAAGGTCATACAAGTGATGAATTAGGCTTAAACCCAAACCTTTTTGAGACAGGGTCTTGTTAAGCTGACAGGCTGGGTTGGAACTTATACCTCTTCTGCTTCAGCCTTCCAGAGTGCTGAGTTTACAGGTGTATACCACCACACCTAGCTTTTTGTCTGTTTTTCAAGATAGGGTCCCACTACGTATGCCAGGCCACCCTTGAACTTGCAATCCTCCTATGTCAGTCTCCCCAAGGACTGGTATTGTAGGTGTACATCATCAAGCCTGGCTTGATAGCTTGTTTTCTAACCACCAGGTTATAAGGCAATACTGCATAAAGGTCATATGGCAGGACTCCAAGCTGGTATGTCTATTTTCATGTTGTCACCCAGCATCTAAAATCTGGACCACTAGACATTCTTCCTAGTTCTTGCTGGGCTGAAGAGATTTGCAGAACAATTCTCACTTGACTACAGGATCAAGATATTAAAGAACAAGTCAAAGAATACTTAAGGATCCTAAGAAAAAGGAGGCTCTCAAAGGGAAGGTGAGGTGTGGTTGTGTTTCCCATCCATGGCCAGCCTTCGGACAGACTGGGCTTCACTCCTAAGGGGGTGGTGTGGAAGACCCAGCAGCATGGCCTGCTACCCAGGGGGACTCAGCTGGTATCTCCACAAGTCAGACTTGCAATGAATGATTCCACAGGAGGGAATGACTGAGAGTGGCGGTGTGTGGTGTTGGGGTGTCAGGGCTGGAGTTGGAGATGGAAAGGCTGGAGAGGTCGGGATGGGGATGGGGAGGTGACGGACTGGACGGGATGGAGTGGAGGTGACGGCAGTGGTGTGGTGTGGCGAGATGCACGGACAGCATTCTTACCTCTGATTGGTGAACCACCTGGTGAGGTAATTTGAATGCAAATAAGATCAGAGAAAAGCATTAGTACAAAAGGAAGGAAAGCCACATAAAGCCAAATCAGATAAAATAAAACACAAGGAAAGGCCTTATATATATGGAGAACTTGAGGCCTAAGATCAGCCCACATAGTGATGTGTGAGCAAGCACCAGGCTGGGCCAGGTGAGTTGTAGGTGAAGCTGTGCCCCCTGCATCATAGACATTGCTGAAGTGTAAAGGTCTGGTGGGTCTGGAGGGAAGGAGTCAGGAAGGTAAGTCAGGGCTCCTGCAGCCACGGCCAGCTGGGCCAGTGGAGGGGAAGGGGAAGGGGAAGGAAAGAGGCTGCAAACCCACCCTGCAATCCACCCAAATCCTGTGCTGGTAGGGGTGAGATTACAGAGCACTTACCAAAACAAAACCAAGGAATTAAGCAGGCAGGAAGAAGAGTTAGAGAAGGGAGTGTTCCCACAAGGCTACCACCAGGCCAGGCCTCCCACAGAGAGACCAACCAGCCCTAGCAGCTGTTGACAGAGGCAGGAGGACTGTCTGCTCACAAGTCAGTGGCACATTCCCCACAATGCCACCCAGCCCTGCTAAACAGGAACAGGCTACTGAACTATTCCAGCCTGAATGGCAAACCAGCAGCCAACAAAGCCAGGAACTTACCCTCCAAGCCCAGGTCTACTGTGTTCCCTTTCAAACATGTTCCCCATGAGGCTCGTCCTCTCACTCCCCTTCAACAACTGCCTTACCCAGAGGACAAGGAGCCGGTGGGCAGACCAGGTCCAGCTCTATCTACTGTGCCCCCTTCCTACCCACCTTTGGAGGATGGGGAGTGTCAGAGACACATAGTGATCAATGACTCACTGAACTTGACAATGGCTGCTTGGAGGAATATCCATCTCTAAGAACAATGGAGGAAACAAAGGCTGAGAAACAGTTAAGTGGCTTGCCCGAAGGCTGAGCACATATAGCCACTGAGGCGACAGATTTGACTAGTCCATTTAGTTCACAGCCTCCCACTGCAGAGGGCTGCTCTCCTCTGGGGACACGCAGGGAGATTCATTATAGGGATTTTTCAAGTGCAGTCCAGGTGTACAGCACCTTTCAGGGAACCTATCAAGTCAATACTAATTCTATAATACCAAGACAGCATGGCTACATAATGCGTGACACCATAATAAACCGAATGTAGTGCCTGACATGGGGGTTCAGCTGCCTTCTATGAAGCCCCATAATAAAGATTTGTGAAAGTGTGAAACAATGAGGGTCTTCTCACTTCTTCTTCTCAAAATACTTTTGTTTTAGAAAATGTAATTATTTTTCACTTTAAAAATGATATGGGGATTTTAAATGCCTGAGGATTTAGCTCACTGGCATAAGTGCCTGCCTGGAAAGTGCAAGGTCGTGAGTTCAATCCCTGATACCAAAAAAAAAGTTAACAAGCAATAGATTTTTAGATTAGTAAATAAGTAAAATCTTAATATGTAACCTATTACCCACTGGTAGTTATAATCCACACAAACAAAAGCTCCTTGAGGTCCCTCCAGTTTCACAACTGAGGGACAGGGATGGTGGAGAACGTCTAGGACTGGGACTTCCCAGGCCCCAGGCTTAGACCTCACAGAAGGGCCATTTCCCTACCAAACTTCCACTTCACAAGACTGGTGACAGGGCCTTCTCCAAAGGGGAAGCAGGAGTCAGCCTCCCAGGAGCACACTCATGGCTGAACTCAGGGCCAAAGAGAAACTGTAACCACTCGCTGCTAGCACAGCAGCAGACCCAGTCAAAGGCAGTGTAGAGAGGAAGGGCTCTCCTAGGCACAGCTGGGACCCACCAGCAAAATGAGGAGCTTAGCACCCTGCCTGCCAGGCCAGGAGGCCTCCGACAGCCCAATGCTGCCCTCTCTTCTCAGGTCACCGGGTCTCAGTCCAGGTGTGCTGGGGATATGAAGAGATGACTCTGAGGAAGCCTCTGGACAGTTTAGTTGGGTTGCCCCGAATGGTGCTGGGTGAGCCTAGGAAGTCTCTTCCAGGCACGTAACCAGACTTGGTAGAGCTTGTGGACTAACAGCCTCTTGGGACCCAACAGTGACCTTGAGCCCCAGTTGGAGGTCAGCATGCTGGCAGCTGTGAACTGTCTGCTCAGGACTCCACTGCTGTCCTCTCCAAGCTTGTGCTTGTTCCCCGTTGGGCCCAGCTAAGATCCCAAATTCAAATGGTGCACGAGGCTACTATGGCAGCATATCACAGTGCTGTAGTGGGGATAGAGCCTGTCAGGCATAGTTCATGATGGGTAGTGCATATTGCCAGCTGCCTCCTCTGTGCAGCTCTTGGTCTGCAGGCAACACCCCAGTGAGACAAACTGTGGCCTAGGTCAGAGACACTGGAGGAATTCTGGGTACTGTTCAGCAGAGACCTGAGGTCTAGACAAGCCCTGGAACACTCATGGGATCCAATAACCCTCTGGCCCCAGGATAACCTCACAGAGGAACTCTTACACCTAAGTGTTCCTGTGTGACCTAGGTGACTCTCAGCTCAGCTGTGAAGTGGGCATGATAATTACAGCCTGTCCTATTTCACAGAGTTGTAAGAGACTCAGCAGCAATAGAGGGTGGGAAAGCATTTTGTAAACTGTTGGTGATGTATAAATCGTGAAGAGCCTTGTAAATAGCCAAGTGCTCAGAGGTCTGAATCTGGCCCACAAAGGGCAGTTTCTGTAAAACATACACAGAATAGCTTCAGCACCCTTCTAAAGGTAACAGGATAGGGGCAGCTGCTACTGGGATCAAGGATCACAGGCTAGGGTCAGGCAGGAATGGGGACAGAGTACCGTTGTTCCTGCAGAGGAGAGTAAACTGAGGACCTCAGGCATCATATGGCTCCATCCCAGGAGCTAGACCCTAGGCTAAGGACTCTTAGGTCACTGCTTCCATGAAGCAAGAAGGAGTATGTGTTAGTCTTTAGGGACAAGTCCCAAAGATCAAGTTTGGAAAATCATTCATTCAGCGAGGGCTTTGGGGTACCTCATGGAGCAGTCAGTCCCAAGTCTTCCCTGCCAAGAGCACCCAGCCTAGGTGAGCAGAGCTGGATTCAGATGGTGAGAAACCTGAGGCTGAAAAGGGTGGAAGCCTTCAAGAAGGTGAGTGGTGAGTCAAGAGGTGGGCAAGCATAGGTCACGAAGGCTTGCCGTAAGTTGAGAGTGGCAAGAGGCAAGAAGAGCACAAGAGCCCCATCCAGAGTCCTTACCACAGGTCAGGCAGTAAGTCATGCCAACTGACGCTTCTCATTTTATGTAGCTTCCCCTCACTCCACCTTGTGCTAGAAACTGAACCCAGTGCTTCATACATGCCAGGCAAGTACTCTACTACTAAATACACCCAAAACCCTCCTTTCTTCAAGATGACAAAACTAATACTCAAAGAGGTTAATTCATCTGAGACCACCAGCAAGTAAGGGTACAGCTCGGAACTGATGAGATTAGAGATGTGGGCAGGGGAAGATCAAGAAGTGTACTATGTGCCCTGTCCAGGAGCACATACTTGACCATGCAGTCCAGGGTCAAGGGTCTACTACTTGACTGTCAGAGCACGGGAAGAACATGAGCTGAACATGCTGAGGACTGCTGGATGATGGATTCTCAGCGAGAGCCTGGAGGCTAAGAGGGCAGCATTTGTGTCTTGGAATAGGATGGAGGATGTGGGAAGAAAAGCGAGCACCAATTTGAGAGGGGTGTAAGTGACACACTAAGGGGACTTGATTCCTTACTTCAGTAGCAGTTGGGTGTCTCCCACGTGTCAAGTTGGGCAGTTGTCACTCACAGTGGTCAATGGGAAACAGACATGGCTATCTGAGAAGGAGGTCATTACACTTGTACTGGACACAGCACATCCAAAGGCAGGTTGACTTCTGGACATCGAACTTGGCCAAGATCTTAGAACCAGAGAGACAAAAGTAGTGACAGGAAAGAAGATAGCAGGGGGAGCTCTGGGAGCAGTGCATGGGCCTGCCTGAGTGGGGAGAAAGATTGTGTCTGGGCAAAGGTGGGGCTACCCGCTCCTTGGCTAGAACAGATTGCATTGCAGAGAAAGGGCACATGGGAAGCAGGTGGGACAGAGTCCAGGAAAAGTATAAGGGGGCTGGTCAAAAAAGAGGGAGGGAGGTCAGCCATTGCTGACAGGGCAAAAAAGATGAGGCATGAAGAGCCTCTAGTGTAGCGCCAGGCAGGGAAGGAGCGGCACAGGACCTGGTAAACAGCACATACTACATAAATGTATTTGATGGCCAAATGTTCAAGACTGAGTCTTCTCAGAAGGGCTGCCCACTATACAGTCGATGCCAATTCCAGGGTGGAGACGGGTCTACGAGAAGGACTGTCTGGCTGCATGGGGCCCTGCCTGGGGGACCGGTAAGCAAACATAGCTGAGCCTAGCTGAGCTGGGCTGGGCTGAGCTGATCTGATCTGAGTTAGGCAAAACCAAGCAAATCTGAGACCAGCCGGCCGCTGTGTAGTGCTGGGCAGCAGCCACAAACAGTGTCAGACCGTTTCCTGCCTTGATTATGGCTGTTTTAATTAACTGCGCTACAGCTGCCTCCATCTTGTTGAGTTTTAATTAAATTAAATGAGCTAACACTTCGTTGTCTGTCTCAGGCGGCCATGGCCAGAGCTAGAATCCTGCCTTGCTGGGTGGCTCATTTCTCCTGCTTTTCCCTGAACACCAAGAGAAATGTTTGTGTCTCATGGGATTGGAGGTAGGGACTGGCATCCCAGGGAGTGAGGGGGCACCTCTGAAACCAACAGGCTCCAAAGGGCACAGTCACACTCCTCTCCCCAGGACTGACATCACAGCTGTCAGGCAACAGGGGCTCTGGCCATCCTGCTCAAGGTCCAACACCCCACACCTGGCAGGGCTTCTGAAGCAAGGCCTACGGGTCCAGCCCATGCTAGTGGCAGGTGCAGAATGCAGCCAAACTGATTCCAAGCTTCCTTCCCCACCCACTCTGTTCCCATAAAAACTGAATCAATCTTCTTGGCGGGAGCCTCACAGGCAGATCGATCAACAGGGCGACACCTCCTGCCTGGTCACGACGGCATCCTTGCTCCCAGGGCTCCAAGTTGGCTCGACTGAGGCATCAGAACAGGTGGCTCTGGTAGCTAAAGGACAGCAGCAAGTACCCATGGGTGTAAGACCCTGAGGTTCAACCTTTTGAAGTCTGACAAATTGGGCATTTTGGGTCTCTTTCCCTGGCTAGCCCCTGCCCTCTCAAGAAACAAAGAGAAGCATCAGCCAGGCCCTGTCTCTAGCCAGGCTACATAGCAAGTAGAGAATGTGTACTCACAGACACCTTGGCAGAGCCTGCCATGCTGCCTCATCACACGTGCTAGAAGAATTGGCCCAAAATCTGCAGTCTGACAGTACCAGGACAGCAAAGCACAGCTGGCAACAAACTCTTACCACAGTGTCCTCTTCCCTAGAGCCAGACAGGCCTGTAGCAAAACCCACCTTCCCTCCCCTGCTTTCTGCTCAGCCTCACACACCCAGACCCAAGAGGGAAGGCTGTGCTCTCTGGCAAGATGCCTTGCTGAGGTCTTCATGGTCCCTTGACCGCTACCCTCTGCTCACCTGAACGCAGCTGTTTGATGCGGCCATTGCTTGTGGCAGGATCCACAGGAAGGAAGTCCTTGAACCAGGAGATCTCAGGGTCTGGATTTCCACCAGCTGCACACAGCATGGTGGCTGTGCGTGCCTTCTCCACCACCTTCAGCTGAGGCCCCATGTCAATGGATGGGAACCCAGGCGGTAGCTGCTCTTCTGCAGACAAAGAGCAGTATGTATATTAGGTCTGGCCCTGTCTCCCAGGATCTCTCTGTGGGCAGCTTCCCTGACTCCCACGTTAGCTGGGACCACTGGACTCTTCTCTCCCCAACCACAACCTTCTAAGCATGAGGCCTACCCTGATGTGAGAGTTCAGACACCTAAGTCCTTTTTGGCAGGGCCAGGTGCTACAGTAGAGCCCATTCTTGCCCCATCGCAGAGTTTCAAGTTTGAGAAGCAACCTCTCAGACTGAAGGTGTCAGCACTTATCTCTCTAGGACCTGCGAAGGAGGAGATCAATGCTCTGCTGGCTGCAGCAGAAAGTGCTGCATAAATGCCAGGCTGTGGGGGCGGGAGTCACATAGCATCAATGGCCATACAGTCCTGGCCAAGGCCAGCCCACGTAGTGTTCCTCTTCTGCCTGCATCCTCTTCAGCTTCACTACATGGCAGAGCCCCAGGTCACTGTGCCTGCACCTCAGATTCTACCCATGACCCCTTCTAACACTGGTTTTACTCGACATATTTCCCACTACAGCCTTGACCTTTATCCTTCTCATACACGGTCCTGACCCTGAGCACCAAGTCTGAGCATGAAGTTAGGCTAAGATGTAGCAGTACCACCAGACGTGATGGTACACTCATGTAATCCTGGCACTCTGGAGGCTGAGGCACGAGGATCATTGTGGGTTTGAGACCAGTCTGGACTACAAAGTGAGCTCAAGACCAGCCTGAACTGCATAGTGAGACTCTGTCTCAAAAAGACACATACACACAAAAAACAAACCAAAAAAAAAAAAAAAAAAAAAACCCCAAAAAAACCCCAAAACTACAAAACTACAAGTTGGTGAGGGGAGGCAAAAACACTTTTCTGGCCCCTTCTCCCAGCTTTCTAGGGAGAAGTCATTTGCATAAACCAACAGGAATGGCTATCAACAATAAAACCCACTTGCACCATACTCAGGCTCCTGCAGCAGCCCTACCAGGCTGGGAACACAAGGTTGCCCACATCTTTGACCTTAGAAGCAATGAACTGGGAGGATAAGCCCTGGACCAGTTTGACCAAGCAGGACTTTTCTTCTATCTCTAGCATATGTGTGTGTTCCTTATTCTCTGTCTCTGCTTTCATTTGTCCACTAAGGTTAAGTGTCCATCTTGTAAAGCCTAAATTAGGTCTAGATTTGAAAGTACAAAGTGCTAGAAGTGTCTGACACATGACCTGCACCCAGTGAATAATCTGCTCTACAGTATAACTTGTAAAGGCTGAACCACTGGGGCAGGTAGACACTAAAACTAGAGCCCAAGACCCCCTTCTCCCATCCTAGGATGATAAGAAATCCTCTTTGTTGTGACAAAGCCATTGTATTACTCTCTAAAACTCAGCCATGCCTCTCTGCCAACGTGAAGGCCAGGCACATCCAGTGGGGACATAGCAAATCTCTGCAGTTTGCCTACTTCTTGGCAAGAAAGTTAGGCTTTGTGGTAGCAGAGATCAGACTAGCAACACTCTACATCTCCCTCTCAGACATGGCACAAGATGAGTGTGTGGAAACATTTGCTGAGGTTACGCTCCTATGCCAGGGAAAAAGCATGTGATAGCTTCAGAAGGCACAAAAGTACAGGCTGGTGGCGCATGCCTTACCTAGAGACTCTGCACCTCAGGGGGAGTGATTAGGTGTCCTACAGGAGAGGATGCTGGAGCAGTACCAACAGACAGGGGCAAGAGATGCCTCCATCTGCTGCTAACCTCTTGGGAACTCCATGCAGCCAGGGGCATCCTAAAGAGGCTGGGGTCCACCAGGAGAAAGGGTCTCAGGCTGGTCACAGAGAGAACCTCAGCACAGCCATGCCACCCCAGCCTTCTCCTAAAGTTAGTTCTAACCTCTCCATTCACAGCCCTAGGAATTCCACATGTAGATCCAGCATTTCTGAGGCTATAAATGTAATTCTATAGTGCCCTGATGTTCAGCTCTGATTTCTGAAAGGATAATGTTAAAGAGTGGCAAGAGAATGAAGTGGGATGGAATGAGAACTGGGAATCCACCCAGGAAGGAAACAGGGTCCTCTGGCCCTGCTATCACTTGCTTTCCCAAGAAGGCCTGTGCAAGACTGGAGGCCCAGGCTCCCTCCTGCCCTTCAACAACATCTGGGAGATACACAGTTATTGGAGCTAGTATGGCCATAAGGGTGTCAAGCTGGCTCTTTCTGGGCTTTACTCCTACCTGCTCAGCCCTCTTGAACAAATGGAGGGGTGGTAGCCAGGGCCTGCCAGAGCCAGAACCAGGAGTTAACTTACTCCTCCACCTCCAAGGTGCAGATCAAGGAGAAGGAAAGAAGAACCAATCTGCAGCCCTGTGTTCTCAGGAATCTACTCTGAATTCCTGACACGGGAAAAGTCTTTGGGGTTTACACCAAATTAAGGACAATTAATTTTCCTCCCTCAATTATCACACTCTGGATGGCTCTGTCCTTGGTTCAGATCATCCTTCAGGCACCGCCACCAGAGCTTAAGACCAGCAACTGTGAACAGTTGTCTGTAAAATAGCAGGACTCTAGAACTAGTTCTTTGTGCCAACTGGACTTGAAGGCAGCTCTGGAAAGCTTACTGTCTGCCACCTCCACGAGAGAAAGTCTCACAGCCCTGGGGGGAACCTGCTGCTGCCTCTTTCTCTTCTCCACCATTGGGCCTCCAGAACATTCAAACCCAGCCAAGGACAGCTGCTGCTCTTGATGGCTGTCCCATGTAGATACTGGTGGGTCCATCTACCAGACACCCACAGGAGCTGGTCCACAACAGCTAAACCATGCAGGGCAAGGGCCAGGAGGAAATCTTAGGCTGACAACACACGAGCACTGTAAACCCACTAACAACTGGGAAAACTGAGGCCCAGACAAAGGTATAAAAGGTTACATGTATGGAACATTTATTGTCATAGGTATGACTTCATCTTTACCTAAACCCTACAAAGTAAAGGAACAAAGAGGGCTTGGAGAGATAAAGAAACCTGCTCAAGGTCACTCAATTAAATCAGAGGTGGAGCCTTGAACAACAACAGGTGCTAAAGCCCCAGCCCTAGCACTCCTGACCTGTAGGAACAGCTAGGTAGGACATCCCTGAGGGAGCTGTGCCCTGCCCCCAATACTGTGCCCTCAGCCAGTTTCCAGCACTGCAGCCCCCTGCACACACAGCACACACACCACTGCAGCATTTTCATCACAATGAAGAGAACCTGGGTGCTCCCCACATATAGATATCCTCCACACGCATCCACATTTCAACAGCAGGACTCACAGGTCACGTTAAGAACCCTCCAAATGGTCCAGCTAGCGCTGGGGATGCCATCCCCTCCCCCTCCGGGCCACCCGGTAACCATGGTGACAGCAGAGCAGCAGTGCCGCAATAGCAAAGCGTGTGCTGGTGTCCCCTTGGGGCATGCACTTCCATGGTCCGGCTTGGCACCACCCTTCCCTCCACTACCTAGGTGGAGCACTCTGCCCCCTCCCAAAAATTCCAACCCCTTAGGTTCTCCAGCTCCACATTGCATGTGCTGTGTGCCCTGTCCCCTGCTGGGCCAGCACTGTGTGGAAGGGCCCACAGCTACCTTGGCACACTTGGATACAATTAGTCTCCCAAGTCTACCTCAGCCAAGCCCTCTAAACCCTGAGAAGAGGGTGTCTGGAAGGAGAGAAGCACAACAGTGAGTTAGGGAACACCACAGGCACCAAAGAGCTCAAGTCCAACACTACCTCCACACACAGGTGAAATCCACCCTCATCTCTGAGTGTCAGCCCTGCGTGCAAGATCTATGTGACCCTCTGTGGGCACAAACAGCTCCTACACACAAGGCCTTTAGATACCGCAGCAGGAAGACTTACTTCTTCCCTCTGTCCCACAAGTACAGGGAGATGACAGTTGAGGGGTGGGTGGGTGGTTGGGAGTCTAAGGCTGGGGGTATGGTTTGGCAGAGATCCCGTAGAGATATGACCAGGCCAATTCCACCAAATTATCTTGAAGCCTTCCTGGAGAAGGGAGACTCAAGAAAAAGAAACTCAAAAATAAGAAATGCTTGGGAGACAGAAAGCTTTATGGGCAGTGGGGACCTGCTTGAGTAAAGGCTATAGAAGGGTGGAGACAGAAGTAAGTACAGTAAGCTTCCATCAGGGGTCCTAACATGAGGATAAGGTGGGGTGAATGGAGGGTTGGCTGGAGCTATGGTGATGGGGGAGTGAAGGCTGCTGAGAGCCCCCAGCAAACACATACAGGTCTCTTTGTCCAGCACAGCCTGGGATGCCTGAGGCAAAGTATGGGCCAGAGGGAGGGGGCTGCACCAGGGAAGCTAACAGATGGAGACGCTTTACAGGGTCCAGGGCCAGTGGCACCGTCTGTCGGTGTGACCTTCTCACCCGTGTTTATCCAGCTTCATAGCATCTCTGTGCTCATGCAGGCACACTTGAGCTTTCACGTATAGAGGCTCCCTGGGGTGCTGCCATCTGTGAGCCTAACCCTCTCCCAATTTCTGAGCGCTGGGCCTGGCCTTACCATGTCTCTGAACCACGAGACACCTTAAAAGCATGCACAGCTAGGGACCCTGAGACACAAAGATAGGTGCTAAAATTGAAACCTCCATGTGCCTATGGAGGGGCATCTGTAGTACTAAGCACCTATGGAAGGATTTGGGGAAGCAGACCGGGAGGCAGTGGGTGGAGAGATGGAAACATGCATGTGGAGACATGCAGAGTCAGAAATACACATTTGCTGAGACATGTGCACCTGGTGACACATGCAAGGCCTAAAATCATGAAGGAACCTTGTGGGTGGTGGGGATGTCAGTTCCCCTTACCCTTCAGGCACTCCATGGAAGCCAAGGCCAACTCAATCCTGTCCCCGAGACAGCTCTATCCTCAAAAGAGTGAAGGCCAAGGTACCTCCTAACAAGTCAGGCCTCTCCAGACCTGCCAGGGTTCACTCTCAGGGAGCCCAGCCCCTCCCCTGGGTTC